AACATTTTAAAAAAATACAATAATGCTTTATTCCGAGTGTGCTTGCTTTTCTCTTTGGAAGTCATCACATAACGGCATGTAATACACGGTTCGGCTGCATTAAATATTACATATCTGCCGTAGTTCTGTATGTATATAGCCCTGATGAGAAGACTTCTAGACAAACATGAGGAACTGAAAACGTGACGTGGATCATAAATATATCAGCCATTAAACAACATCTTACATTTATTTTCACACAATACGTCTCCTTGCAGTATCAACACTAATTCGGCTGACTTTTATATTTGATCCAATTGGTAGATAGGCTGTATTTACACCATAAAGGTGCACAGCTGATATAAAGGGACACCTAGTGGTTAAAGCATGTTATTGAATTTCATTATTTTTATTATTAGATATTAATAGGATCCCTATAAAGTATATTCATTACTCGTTATTCTCTACTAATAGTTCATTAAAGACTGTATATAATGACTATTTTGCACATCCCAAGCCATTTTCACCCATTTATTAATTATATGTTTTAAATGTGAGTGTTTCCTATCCCCTAAACCTCCAGGAATGTACACAGTTTAATACTGGCAACTTCTTATTATGGGAAATACGAAAACGTCTTTTAAAACTACAACTCCCAGTAGAGACGTGCCATAGATACAGAACATGTTGCGAAACAGAATAGCCAGCATGTGTAGTTCTGGGGACGGGGTGGGGGAGGGGGGGGACCCGTTCAAATCCAGTTTTAGACAGTCTGCCGTGATTCCATCCCATTTCAAGTGCTGTTCGAGGCTCGGCGTAACCCTCGGAGCACACTCTCCAATCACAGAGCTTGAGGACTATCACGGGGTTTGTCAAACAGAGCACATGGTGTAGTCCAAACGATAGCTGGGGATTCTGGGTAGTGTAGTGTCTTCTGCCATCCTTTACTCCGAAAAAACATTTGTTTCTCCGAATCGAAGGGGAAAAATACAAAAGCATTGCACACAATTTAAACCAATCAATGTTGTGTAATTAACAAGGATAATCTGGTGTTTTTTAGTCGATGAGTAGTGCAGATATCACTGTAAAATCAATCGACAGTAAGGGGAATACTTACTTCCGGGTGTACAATTCTCCGTTATCCAATGAGAATGGACGCTCACATTGCCTTTAAGGGCAGCCGACACAAACGAATGCCGTGCTTCCATGAGCGTCCATAGAAACATATGGACATCCCGGAAAGCTGAAAATGGACGCTAAGGCCCCCCCCTTGCGTTGGAAAAAGCCGACAGGGGACTTGACATAACGTCAACATAGGCCGACCTGGGAGTGAGGATGTGTTGTTGATGTAGAAGAGACATGAAGAAGAGGGGACACATGTTGATGTAGAAGAGACATGAAGAAGAGGGGACACATTTTGATGTAGAAGAGACATGAAGAAGAGGGGACACATGTTGTAGAAGAGACATGAAGAAGAGAGGACACATGTTGATGAAGAAGAGACATGAAGAAGAGGGGACACATCTTGATGTAGAAGAGACATGAAGAAGAGGGGACACATGTTGTAGAAGAGACATGAAGAAGAGAGGACACGTGTTGATGAAGAAGAGACATGAAGAAGTGGATTTTGCATGATAGGTGACCTTTAAGTAAAACAGACGAGTACTTTGTCCTCTACTGCTTAAAACCACAAAAGATAACATTTAAAATGGTGTTTCATCTGGAAACAAAAACATGTTTATCCGTAGTCGCTGAAAATAAATTTCCAACCATGATTTCCTGCAGCCACGCTGAGTTTAAATGGAAGATTTACGAGCATATTGATGCACCGTTTCCTGTGTGAGCAGGAAATAAATCAGCGTTTCCCTGTCTTTGTTTCCAGACACCAATGCCATCCGCTACATCCAGCTGACAGAGATGAAGATCCGCAGGAATGCCCAGAGGGAAAAGAAAGAGGCGCTGGCTTGAGGACAAGAACAAAACAACCTTCACCCAGACCTTACACACCTGCAGTGTCTCGGTGTGAAAACATGTTCGTTTGCTTTTTCCTTGCACAGCATCTGGTTGCCAGTTTTGTGATTGAATTTCATCGTTGTGTGCTTGAAGAGTTTCTCTTTCTTTCTTTTATCGTACATGATGCTACGGTGGCCGACAGGTGCAAACGCGTTACTACTGCGCAAAAACATTTAGATTGGGAGAAACACGCTACAGCTTCGGAAACGATGCATATAAAAACAGAAATGTGCCAAAACACATGAAGAAACATCTTCAGCAACTTGAGGACACATACAGCATTTAGAAAAACATTCACCAACTTTAGGAAACGTTTACTAAGAGCTGCAGAAACCAAACGCTGCAAGAAGCTCAAAACACAACAGAGACCAGGGGACACTAAAAAGTGACGCACACAGCTGGGAGACCAGGGGACACTAAAGAGTGAGGCACACAGCTGGGGGACCAGGGGACACTAAAAAGTGACGCACACAGCTGGGAGACCAGGGGGACACTAAAGAGTGACGCACACAGCTGGGAGACCAGGGGACACTAAAGAGTGATGCACACAGCTGGGAGACCAGGGGACACTAAAGAGTGACGCACACAGCTGGGAGACCAGGGGACACTAAAGAGTGACGCACACAGCTGGGAGACCAGGGGACACTAAAGAGTGACGCACACAGCTGGGAGACCAGGGGACACTAAAGAGTGAGGCACACAGCTGGGAGACCAGGGGACACTAAAGAGTGACGCACATAGCTGGGACGGAGCGCTTGGTGACGTTCAGGATTACAAAGTTGGACAGCTGTCTCTGTTGTTGGAAACTAAAATGTTAACTTATTTTAACAATGTGATCACATGACTCCTTCTGATGTTACTGCAGATCTGCTGTAAGCTAGCTAGCTAATGTAGCTAACCTAGTCATTTCAGATCAGTGGCGGTTCTAGACCAATTTGACTGGGGGGGGGCCACTGGGGGGCCAGTTATTTTCTGAGGGGGACACAATAAATGCAGGACGAAAAAGAGAACTAGACAGTATGAAGTAATAGCGCATAAGAAAACAATGCAATACAGTTATTGGCATTTATTTTAGTACACTTATTTATTTCAGATAGATCTTATAGTTATTACTGTTAGCTTCAGCTTAAGTTATAGTGCAATGTTTGCACTATAACGACCTTGAGAGCCTTGAAAGGCGCCTATATAAAATAAATGAATTATTATTATTATTACTAACACCATATTTATATAAAAATAAAGGCAATGAACAGTTACATCTCTACTTTACATAAGGGTGTCTGCACAATCTCACATTACAGCAACAAAATCCTGCGGTTTTTGGCAAACCGAGTACCAGAAAATATACATTTAAAAAAAAAAAAAAAAACGTTTCATTGTTAGGGGGGCCACAGGGGGGTCAGAGGTCAGTGTTAGGGGGCACTGGCCCGCCCTAGAACCACCCCTGTTTCAGATATACTGACCAACACTTACAGTTATGAGACAGAGACAGTTGTTCAGCTTTATAATCCTGAATGTCACCAAGCTCTCCCAGCTGTGTGCGTCAGTTTTTAGTGTCCCCTGGTTTCCGTTGTGTTTTCAGCTTCTTGCAGAGTTTGGTATTTTTACATATGCATTGTTTTTAAAACTGCAGCGAGTTTCTCCCAATGGAAGTGTTTTGGGCCGTTGTAATGCGTTTCCACTTGTCGGCCACCGTAAGATTCTGTCTTCGAACCGCCAAATGTTCTCTAGTCTGAAGTCTTTTTTAACAAACTGATGCACTGCCAGTCCAAACATTGCACATACAGGCCAACACTTGTGATAGAGGAAGGAGGAGTCCAGCAGGCGAGTGTCACTGCACGTTAGCCCGCGCACAAGATGTCCAAAAGAGGAACAACCACCTACACCACCATGCTTTTATTTAGAAAGTGTTATACTCTTGATAACATCTGAAGTAAAGGTGCTGTCTCAAGGTTTCTATCTCATGACGTGTAGGCGAGGACATCAATGGGTGCTAAATGTAGTAAGAGACATATCACAAAATGTAAATAGGCTACTTTATATAAATCATGAAAATAATATAACAAGCTATTTAGTGTTTATTGATGCCAAAACAAAGCACTTCACTCACAGCATTTACTGTATCAACAATTACTGTGTGTTTATTGTAAAGTTGTGTATGCGTGTAATAAATGTGTCTATTGATTGAAGTCGCTGTGATGCTGAAGTGGATTTATGTTCCTTTAAAGCAAAAAATAGATCAATGGAGAAATGTTGATGTTTAAAGGTCCCATGTCATGGCCATTTCTACTGATCATAATTCCATTGTTGAGGTCTACTAGAATAGATTTACATTGTTCAATGTTCCAAACTCACATTGGTTTCTCATACAGCATCTCTGTATAGTATGTGTATTCACTCTCTGCCCTAAACGGCTTGTTGGAGCTCCTGCCCCCCCCCCCCCCCTCCTCCCTGTGAGCCCAGTGTGCTCTGATTGGTCGGGACGTTGCGAGGCTCGTTGCTCAGTGTGGCTTAATATTGAGAAAGAAAAAGGTTTATAACGCTGTGAGAATGGGTCTGCGGAGAGCATTTCTCCGCGATCCCAACTCGTCTATTACCAACCAGGGAGCTCTATGCAAGTCAATGGGACTCCCTGTTAGTTGAACATTTACACTAAAGGTCCCCCCACTGCGTTTGACAGTGACGCCAAGGGATCCTGGAATGGAAAAAGAGAAATGTCCAACGAGGCGTTCTGAAACATGGAAAATTGTTTGATATCCAGGTAGTTCAGACACTGTCAACTACAGGGATTATATTCTGGAAAATGATATTTACCTGCTGCCTGTTGCAGCTGTTAGCTAATTCAAGCAAAGATGACCACCACATTACTTGGATAGAGAACAGACGTTTCTTGCTGCAGCGGAAAATGCCAACCGAAACAGTAAAGTTGTAAGCTAGTAAATTAAACAAAGAGCAAAGGATGAAAAAAAGTATTTGATAAAGCCATTAATTGAACGAGGAAACACAGACTCTTGCAAAAATAAACTGGATAGTTTACTATGATTTTACTCAAATCAGTGTTCCAGTGCAAATACAAGTCAGTCACTAACAGGATCATTCCCAACCCCAACGATGTCCATCAGCAACAGTCCATCAGCTTATTCGTGGTAACATCTCGGACACATTTAAGGAAACGTCGGACAAGAGTGGTGTTTCAACCAGCAGCACGATCATAAAGCACGATCACATTCTGCAGGCATCAGAGAAAAGCATTCACGTTTTATACAAGACAGATCTCTGGTCACTTAACATTTGAAAATGAAATGAGAGAAACGGGCCTTAAGACCAGAGTCAGATGGTGTTTCTTTTTTCAAATAATTGATTAATAAACGTGTTTTATGACCCGAGAGTGCATGGGAAGAACGAAACCGGGCATTTCCTCCCAAAAACACATTAGTGAAATTAATAATCAACCTCGGTACGATACAAACGCCATTAAAAGCGGAGACATTAAATAATCAATGTGCACCGACCAGTCTGCATGCATTTAGCTCAGTTTAAAAAAACGTGTTGATGTATATGGGATGCAAATAACATATATTTTGAGTTATTGATTACATTCTTGTAATTAAAAACTTTAACAATTCACCAAAGCCCAATTTGTTGTCACCAAATTGCAGTTTTTTGCAAATCAAACATTCAGTTTACTCTCAGAAAAGATTAAGAAAAGCAGCACATTTTACTTAATTGAGACGCTGGAGAATGTTGGGTGTTTAAAGTTTTAAATTAGTTTCTTACAGTCACTTAAAGGTGGGGTATGTAATTTCGGAGAAACCAGCTCGAGTGCGCTAGTTGTGTAGGAAAAAATCTGCCCCACCTTTAAGCTGCGTTTTCATTATGTTTTCTGCCAGGTTAAGAGTCCAAAGCCCCCCCCCAAATATCAGTTTATCATCAGTTAAGACAACAACCAACCAAACCGACCAAATTCTAACCATTAAGACTATACTGAAGAGGTTCAGGCTACATGTGAATATATTTTTAAAACAAAAAAAAGAATCAGAAAATCAGAGACTGAAGTGAGGATTCAGAGATAAACAAAAAAAAGGCAGAATTTAGAGTTCTAAGAAAAAACATTTTGAGAAAAAGTCGACATTTTGATAAAGAAAACAGAATTCTCAACAAAAAAACGTTGGTCATATCCCCCCAGAAAATGTTTTCCTTATCTTCTTCCCAACATTGGAAAAAGGGAATGATTTGTATTTTTACTTTAAAAAGAAATGCCCAAACGTAGATTCCCCAGCTGATCGTGCCTGCTTTGATTCTCAAGTTGGATCGAAACTACTTGTGAAAGATGTTTAAAACAACAACCTGAAAATTATTTTAAAAGCGTGGAACAGACAAATACATATATAAAGTCAAACGTGGCATTCATAACAAGTGTCAAAAATCAAGGCAAAAACAATGCATTATAAAAATAACTTAAATAACATTAAATAATAAATACACACATGCCACCAGGGCCTGCTTCACCTGTAAGCCGTTAACTTGCACACTTTACATCCCTCAATTCTTTCTTGATCAACAATTCATTCATGAGGCGGACATTTAAATACAGTTACAAACACAACGCTCCCTTTAAGTCTGGAGGAATGGGATATCACGGTGTACAGGCGATCAAAAGAGAGTGAATTATACCGACAAGAACACGATGCGTTTTGACAAATTAAAAGAAAGAATCAGAGACCTAATTCCTTCTGAAGTTGGAAAAAGACATACATTCATGACGCTTTCCGAAAGTGCACTTCTTTAAATGCACAATCTTCAACTCAAAGCATGACGTTTAATAAAAGTTATGTAAAGCTTTGTGGAACTGTGCATTTTTTAGACGCCACATTTGAGGATTCGTATCAAAAATGGCAAAACAACAAATGTCGCAAAGGGTAAATATTCACATTTAGGTAGTTAGTGGCCATATCTTTTAATGGAGGAAAAGTGAGTCTTCTTCCTTTAAGCACGGATTAAAGCTAGAACAGATTCATTTTGTCAGTATTCATTCACCCACACCATCAACAAGGGACAGGCATGTCTGTCATTTTTCCAACCCAGTTAAGATTAAACCACGGCTACTTCCACACACACAACGCAGACATTTCGACAGAGCAACTTTTTCTGTGATTTAGGAAAATACCACTTTTAAAATATGAACGACGATCACAGTTATGAAGATATGAGGTGGTACTGAAGAATATAGAAAACTAAATGACATGTCACTTGTTAGACGCTTTTACATTCACTCAAATCCCCACAGGAGCAATTTGGGGTGAAGTGTCTTGTCCAAGGACACAACGACATGATGACTGCAGTGGGGATTGAACCTCCCCTGATCCTTGAAAAAACTAGTAGTCTACTACATCCTCAGTAAGAGAAGGTATTAGGTTACCTGTTTTTTTTGAAACATTAGCTCGACCTGCTGTTTTGGGGTCGTTCTGTAAATGGGGATAGCTGCTATAGCGCTAGTTAACTAATTTTTTGTGGTCCGATCAATTCTAAATTTAGTGACGGACTGCAGCTAAGCAGACTCACAGTCGTTAGCAGCTTTAGCATCCCCCTATGCAGTCAGTGCAAATCATGCTTCAAAACATTACATTACATTAGCTGCAAAACAAAACATCACAGCGATCTTGGAAAAGCCTAGTAGATATAGTCAAATATATACTGTACTTATGTTGTTAGATAAAGTGTTGTTATACTCGTTTATTCTTCTTAAATCCATGGTGAATTAATATTAAAAAGCTCAACTAACATCACCTCGGATCAGCCTAGCTTTGGTCATATTTAAAAAGCACTATTTTCATCTACTTATAAAAAGATGCTCCATGTCAGATTCATGATTATCTGGATTAAAACATTCAAGGTGAGCTCTGACGCAGCTACCATGCTGTACTTATCTGCTTGGTTTTTTACTTATTGTGTTTTTTTATTATTAACAACTGGGACCCACTCTTTTATTCAAGATGTAAGTCTATCAGCACTATAATTCTGCTGATTTAACAACGCAAATGTATCTGTTGCGGGACAAATAAAGGGATTCTGATTCCGACACTTTCGTTATGCATAAGTGGGCGTGGTTGTATTTAAACTGGGTTGTAAAAACGACAGCTGAAGCCGGGGCTGGTTCAGGACCAGTACCCGGGTCTGTATCGGTACGGAGAGTCTTTGGATCGTCCGGTCTCGGGCCTGCAGAGAGGCAGCGTCCCGTCGCGGCACTGCCCCTCGTCCAGCTTGTCCAGCAGGTTCTCCTTCCTGCGGGGCGCCTCCAGGGGGGTGGGCAGCACCACGGGGGGGTCCCGCCCAAACTCTACAGTGGGGGGAGTTTCTGTACTGGAGGTGTGGGCGGGGGACTCTCCGTTGCCCAGGTTTTGTCCGTTTCCTCGGGGCCGACCGTCCGCCCAGAACACGTCGCAGCGGATCCTCGGGGAGGGGCGGGGTCGCGCCACAAAGTCTAGAGTTTTGGGGCGTTCGGGGGCACAGCGGCGGCGGGGGGTTGGGGGGAAAACCAGATTTGGATCGGGGAGCCGGGGGACCTCAGGACAGTCTTCTTTAAAACCTCTGAAGATTCCTGAAATAGGAAAGAAAACTAGTTGAGAAGGACTACTTATTTAACCTAATAAATAAACCTAAAATATTAGTGAAAGATATGCTAAATAAAGTATGCTAACATACCGCTCTAGATTACTGATGTCCTGGACTGATTTAAGAAAAACATTTTCAGAAGATGTTTAATGTAGATTTAAATAAAGATACGTTATCTGTGTACATCTACTTATAATCAGAGATACCTCACCTGTGTTTTCTAAAGCGGTCTTCTCCAGCAGGGGCTCCAGGCTCTGGGGGGGGCAGCTCTTCTTGATGGCTCCGTCTGACGGCGTCCTCCTCAGACTGCGGGAGGCACTGGGGGCTGACGGGATGTGGGTGGGGGTCAGCGACTGGCGGGGGTGACGCTTGAAGCTCTCCAGGTGTGTGTTGACCAGCGGGTTGATGTGGGGCTGATGCCGATAATGGGGGGGATGATTGAGGGGGGAGGCGGGGGGGGCGGCAGGCCAGCTTCTCCTCGCTGTCGGAGCGTAGCAGCGAACGCGTGGAGTTACAGTCCGACACCGAGGATAAAGACAGTAAGGTGTAAGAAGAGGGGATCGTGGGGGCCTTCAGAGGACTCTCTTTCCGGAAGAGTCTGTGAGTCTGGGGGCTGGTGCTCCTCCGATGCCCCCCCGCCCGGTGGAAAAATGCCTCCCAGCGGGACTTTACGTTTTCCTCAGGTTGGGATAAAGTGAGCAGGTTGCAGCCGAGCCCCGCGGCCGCCAGCAGAGCTCCACAGCCCAGCAGGACCAGGTCGGAGCGCCGCCCCCCCACAGGGCTCCTCCTGCAAGGGGAGGCTCCGGGAGGGGGGGCGCTGGGGCAGGACTCCTCCCCTGTCTCCCCCTCAGAGGCAGCGGGGAGACCCTCCTTCTGGACGGGGAGGCAGAGGTAGGACTGACCCGGAGCCGCCGCTGCTGGATCAGTGGTGAAGCAGCTGTCTTCATTTTCTAAAACACAAGATAACAAACAACATGTTAACATTAGTGATGACCAACACTTAGCTAAAGCATGAAAAAAGCTTCTGTCTCAGAGAGCCGCCGTGACCCCCCCCTCTGTATAGTATGCCAAACAGGACATATACTCGTGTGGTAGTATTCATACTGCAGCAATATCTGTTCCTACAGTGGTGACCCACATCTTTTATTTTATTATTTGTTTGAATCTAAAGCGAGTGCAGGTGTGCATGTTACAAGAGGGACTGATAATACATGTAGATTGTGCCGATTATTCTGCCTTCTCACTGCCATATAATCCGTGGTAAACATCCCCGCTGAATTACGGGAGGAAGTTTGGGTCAAACTTATTTCTTAACGCGTGTTATGCTTTGTTGTAGGCCTGTATCCAACACGCTCAGTGCAGCTGCAACATTACAATAGATGCAAAACAATCTACAGCTTTCCTCATTTTTTATTCTTAGTGCAATTAAGAATTTAAATGTCAACATATTTCACTTCCAGCTGTTCTTTTTCCTTGATTAATGTGCCTGACATTTGAGTTGCTTTATTAATTGATCCGTCTCTTATTTGTGTTTCATGATGCCGAGTTGAATAGATGCAATAATTCATGTTGCGAACTGGAAAAGCCTTGAACATCATTTAACTTCTCAAACATGAAGTGTTAGTCAAACTCCATCCGTCCAGGAGAGTGTTTGTGATGCTTTTTCAGGATCAGCTTGTTTACATTCAAATCTGAGATTCTCTGGTCGACCTCAGACAGTGTGTGGGAGGATCTGTCTTTCCTCTCAATGTTTTCATCCATTCTGCATTTAGTCTGTTCTACCACGTGTGCCCTCTGTATGTCAGACTAAGAGGTGATACTGGGTCCTGCTCACCCATCTCCAGCAGGCTGGGGACCCCGGGCACGGCGGGGCTGTGTCGGGGGGATCGTCGCAGGTTTGGGGCGCTGCAGGACCGCTGCCTGCTGCCCTCGTGGGGGGGCTTCACACTGACATGGAGAGAGAGGATTAGGTCAGATATAATGAAAAACAGGCTCCCCAAAAGACACAGCGACCTATATTACAGTTAGCAGACACTTCTATCCACATCGACTTAAAATAAGAGCAACCATGAAGATGCAAACTCAGCATCCATGAGGCTTCAAGAAAACCAATTTGAGGAATCTTGGAAAAAGTAGATTTGAAAAAAAACTGTTGAAATGCATAAAAATGCAGCAGTATGTTGTACACAAATAATAAGAGGTAGAAAACAAGGTATTTTAAAGTTTTTAACATATTTCTTTGTAGCCCAAAACACCAATAACCTCCAGGAATAATAGTTTAAGTAAATGAATACCAAGTCATGTTAAAGCAATAACATTTTGGATTATAACAATTGACATAAAGTCAAAACAGAATATTATGATTTATAAAAATGAAACTAAAATGGAAAAAAGGACAAATGACAAAACATAAAAAAGAGAGTTTTTTTACTCATAGTGCATAATAAAAATACTCTCATTATTAAAATAATGTTCTAATTGATATATTAAGACATCCTCTTTGAGTTATTACAGCTTCGTGTTAACAAAATGTACAGGATGGCGATTTAAACTAATAGATCTGAAAACATTTCACAGACCACCTGCAGAGACCCCGCTCTAAATTAAGAAAATCGTTCTTCCTCCGTCCGCTCACCTGGCGTCGGCGCTGTGCTCCCGGTAGGGGCCACAGTTATGGGACCGGCCCTTCTTCCTGGAGCCCTTCCTCTCTCCCTCCTCTTCCTCCAGCTGGACCCCTGCACTGCGACCCCAGGCCGAGTACCCCTCCCGAGGAGTCACTGAAACACATTTAAAAACCATGCATTATGAAACTGAATTTAGACGAATATTCACCTGGCAAAAATGATCAATTTAAAAAGGTCCCCTATTATACTGGTATAATACAGGTCTCAGATATATACAAAACATGTCTCTGATTGGCTGAAACACCAAACAGATCATTGCAGCATTACCCATAATCCCCTCTGTTTCAGCCCTGTTTCCAAAGTGCTGATTCTCTGTCTGTGACTTTAGATGAAAATAAGGAGCCCCTCCCCACGCCCCTCTGAGAGAGATTTGGTTACAAAGAACACAATGGTGCTCTAGGAGGAGATCCAGGTGATAAGGGGGGGGGGGGTTACCTTGGTAGCTGATTGGCTAATGGTTACAAAAGCCAACACTTATGACATCATAAAGTGGCCAAAATCTGATCAGCTCATTTTCAGACAGGTTTTTATATAAATGGATCAAAAAAGAGAGAGAATCTTTGTTCCTGAAACTTTCAGAGTCTCTTTCCACAGAGGGGACACATGTTGATGTAGAAGAGACATGGAGAAGAGGGGACACATGTTGAATGTGGAAGAGACATGAAGAAGAGGGGACACATGTTGATGTAGAAGAGACATGAAGAAGAGGGGACACATGTTAATGTAGAAGAGACATGAAGAAGAGGGGACACATGTTGATGTAGAAGAGACATGAAGAAGAGGGGACACATGTTGATGTAGAAGAGACATGAAGAAGAGGGGACACATGTGATGTAGAAGAGACTATGAAGAAGAGGGACACATGTTGATGTAGAGAGACATGAAGAAGAGGGGACACATGTTGATGTAGAAGAGACATGAAGAAGAGGGGACACATGTTGATGTAGAAGAGACATGAAGAAGAGGGGACACATGTTGATGTAGAAGAGACATGAAGAAGAGGGGACACATGTTGATGTAGAAGAGACATGAAGAAGAGGGGACACATGTTGATGTAGAAGAGATCATGAAGAAGAGGGGACACATGTTGATGTAGAAGAGACATGAAGAAGAGAGGACACATGTTGATATAGAAGAGACATGAAGAAGAGGGGACACATGTTGATGTAGGAGAGACATGAAGAAGAGGGGACACATGTTGATGTAGAAGAGACATGGAGAAGAGGGGACACATGTTGATGTAGAAGAGACATGAAGAAGAGGGGACACATGTTGATGTAGAAGAGACATGAAGAAGAGGGGACACATGTTGATGTAGAAGAGACATGAAGAAGAGGGGACACATGTTGATGTTGAAGAGACGTGAAAAAGTGGATTTTGCATAATAGGTGACCTTTAATGAAATCTAATTGTAAATGTAATTTGTTGATGCTCACGCTGGATGGCTCTGAGGCGCGGCAGCAGGGGGGGGCTGCTGGGGGGACTGGAGCTGCTGCTCAGTAAACTCCTCCGTTGGTCATGAGACGGAGACGCCTGCACCGTGATCTTGTGCTGGAAATCTGAATCAACATTGAAAAAATACTATTTTTTAAGACCCCACGGACACCCTGTATAAGTCAACATTTAACTTTGTAATAATCAACATTTTAAAATACAAATGATAACATTTAGAGAGCAAAATGTTCACTTTAAGTCAGAGATATGAGCTTTAAGTCTAAAGGTATGAATCCAACAAAGTCACCCACACACAAACAACATCACAATACCAAATCTAGACTACATGTAATAACATGCACACCCCGCTGGTTACAGTTTTTGTCCCCGTTACCTGAGGGCAGGCTGATGCGGTTCCCGTCCTTCAGCTTCAGCCGGTTGCGTCTGAACTTTCCCTGCCGGCTCTCCACGTGAGGTTTCTCCTGGTACAGCTGGTGGATGATGATGTTCAGCTCCCGCTCCAGGATGTGGATCTCCCGCTCCGCCAGCTCCTGCTCGCGCCTCCTCAGCTCCTCCTGCTGGTTCTTCTGCTGCAGCGCCGCCTGCGTCAGCTCCTCCTCCCACGACCGCAGCTCCTGAAATAACAGACAGTGTTGGGAAGATACTGAATGTACTCTTCCAATATCAGAGTAACATGATAACAAAGGTATCCCAACTGTAGCTGTGAACATGACAGGATGTGTGATTACCTAGAAGAGCATCAGGACTGTTTGAGGCATATGATAGCTATGTGATTAACATGATGATTCAGCCTCTATGGAGATAGACATCAAGGATGCTCATTTCTGACGTGGAGCTAATCTGAAGTAAACATTGAATACTGCTTTCTATTCCTCCATCTTGTGACTGTGTAACTCCCTCTCTTGGATATCAGCATGTGAAGGACACTGTTCAGGAACTAGTTGATGCTCTGTATGTGATGACTACTTCCATTCTGGAGAGGATCACAAATACATGGATCCTGAGGTTGAAACTGAAGCCGGTGACGAGTGATATTTTTCGAGTGAACCTGTGAGGCAGTGGTTCGCAACCTTTTTTGTCTCGTGTACCCCTTGAGCTGGTCGCCGCCATTCTATAAGTACCCCCTCACTCATCTGTGATAATTCGCCTATATTTTGTCGTGAATTAAACCCTTTGTTATCGTGTGTAACCCAACTGCTCCTAAATGAAAGTCACTTGTATAACTCACATTCAATACAAATGCATTTAAACTTGAAATGTACACTTGTTGTCAGGTAAAACAATTATGTTAAGACCATAGACTCACTACTTATTTAGGAAGCCACGTCTTTTTTTAGGAGAAGACCCCTCCCTTCTGAACTGTCACTTTTATCAGTCATATTTGAAAAGAAACATTGTTATTTTCTGTATTCATGTAAGACAAAAGTTATTTATTTATTTGTCGATGACTTGCGCTATTTTTAGAACGCACCCAGCGGGCGACCAGGCGCCTGCGTACCCCCTGCGATCTCCTTTTTGATTGATTGATCTCCTGGCCTCCTAATACAAAGATAATCTCATGTGTCCGTCAATAAACTGGGCCTCCGTACCTTCTCCTTGGTCCTCAGCTCGTCGAACATCTCCTGGATCTCCAGCTTCCAGTCGTCCTGCAGGGAGTGGAACGACTCCGCCGGCATCTCGAAGAATCCAGACTCCTCGATGGCCGTCAGCTGGTCCAGGATCAGTGTGAAGTGAGGCCGGCAGTGAGGGTCCGGACTCCAGCACTCTGTGGAACAACAGGGGGATGATCATTGTTCCTACTGCAGTGTAATACTTTTTGTTGTTTCAAATATTTGTGTTGAGAAGAAGCATATAAGTGTAAGCAATAGTACAGACTTCTTTGCGTGTGGAAATCACGCTTCCCTTTTTCAACATAGAAGACAAACAGAACAGCTAACAAGAAATAATAAAGAAAAAACATAGCATGACAGGAATACCATACTCAATGACATACATAGTTATAGGTGGAAAGAACATACAAAATAGTATATATAATACAAATAAATAAATAAACTTAAAGGGTGCATGTAATACTTTTCTATACTATTTTTAATAGTAAATGTTAAATTGTATGTTTCTGGCACATGCGCTGACACCTGTTTTTGCCTCTGGCTCTTGGTTATTAATCTTTATATGATCCTTTCTATGGCTTCTCTCAATTAAAGGTTTTTATTTAGGTTTTTGAATTAAGCTTTTAATCCTAAAACAAAATATTCAAATTCAAAATGAGTGATAAGTGCCCACATTTTTTTTTAATAGGCTATCAATATTGACCTTTGGAATTTAAAACGCTCTGCAGTTATTGGAAATGTTTGGATCACACCGGTCTGACGCAATGCTACACAGCTACCACTGAAACCTAATTCTCCCAATAGTATAGCACTAATAATATGAGTGTAGCCCCATCTTTATCCGTGCACTAAACACACACAAAGAGACATGCAACACAAGCATTTATATGTTAAATTACAGCTAAAATGTTATGTGGATAAATTGTTTTGCAATAATATAATAGATAGATGAACTCAGACGATTGCTAACAAACATCAGGTAGGATTTTCTGTGAAATGGCAAGATGGATGGGAAGGGGGAGGGACGGGGTGGCATGGGAAAGGGATTCCCTATATTCTTTCTTTGTCTTTTCTTTTTCTATTGTCTATTTAATTTGTATCTGTGTATATAAGTCCCTTTGTGAGGGCAAAAAAACAAAACAAAAAACAATAAAAAGTTGGTCACAAAAAAACCAGTTAAAATGTCCACATTATGAGTAAAGTCTTAAAGTTCCAAACTATTCTGCACAACCTGTATTATTTCCGTCTAATTAGGAGGATGACTGTCTTTGAGCAGGAAGTAAAGGAGTTATTTTACCCTCCATCAGTCGTGCAAAAGGCTCCGGACAGGTCAGGGGAACGGGCAGAGCCAGCTTGTTCATGGCGACTCCGTACGCCACCGCCAGACCATCGATCCCCCGGAAAGGAACTTCTCCCGTCAGCAGCTCCCACAACAACACGCCGTAACTGCATCGTAAGAAAATAAACACAAATAGATGGTGAATACATCAGAGAATAAGCATTAATACACAACACAAAATGTGCTCCCTGTTGGTTTTTAAAAACTGCAGTATCCTCCTAAGTTTAGAGCACATGTGTCAAACTCAAGGCCCGGGGGCCAAATCAGGCCCTTGGTGGATTTAATGTCGGCCCGCAGGATCATTTCTAATTACTATTAGATCTGGCCCGCCGGTATATTGCACGCACACCTTCACTCCATCCTGAGGGTCTCCTCCGCTCAGAGCCTGAGCCCAAACATTGATGACCTTGCACCCAAGATGAGATGCCAAGTATCTGAACTAGCATCACAGAGCAGCACACTGAGTTCAATGGATGTTTCCTTCTGCACTTTCTCTCTCAGGACAACAGGGCATGTTTGGTTTGTTCTCTGAGGGGAATAGTTTTGTTGAAGCTGTTGTTGGCCTGTGGGAAAATGTACTCATAAGAAATGACTCTGGAAAAGCTGCAGATAGAGCCATAAGAAATGAATGCAGCGGATTATTTAATGTTGTTTTTATAGGCAATAATTTAAGCTTTGTTAGTTCCAGGTTTAATATGTGCAATAAGTTCATTTCAATAACTTCTGCAATAAACATTGAACCAGTCCGGCCCTCGACTAGTACCCATTTTTGTTCCGACTGTGTATTTGAGTTTGACACCCGTGCTTTAGAGGCTTGGTGTAAGTGTAAACACATCTTAAAAAAGGCATGAAAACTGGTTCTGGAGATAACAGTGAGTTTACAGCAGAGCACGCCGTTTGAATAAATGTCAGAGGGAGTAAATGGCATATGTAAATGCAAAGTAAATACCAAAAGGAGACAGAAAAGGTCGAAAAAAGATGCAGTGCAGACAGACCAAGTGAGTATATGTATAACGCAGGAATAAGTATTGGAATAAGAAAGTTATAGATTTCTTATATTTATCAAATGGGTGAGTGGCAGAGGAGGGACCATGACTTTTTGGAGACTCAAATAAGGGTACTTTTTTTTCACTTCCACACAAATACATTTACTGTAATGTGCATATTTTTCTGGGTACTAATATATTTTCTTATCCCTGTAAACTTTAACAAAGCGTTTCCAAAAGTTGAGTTAAATCTTTTAAATAACATACGAAGAGAGTGATCTTTCCAGCTGCACAAGCACATAATGTATTTTTTATATAGTATTTATAGCTACATGTACTCTCGAGCTTGTTCGAGTCTAGTATCCATCTCATAACGCTTCTCTTCCCGTGTGCTAGTCTCCGTTTTATCAATAAATCATGTACTGAGAACTGATTTTGTTCTCGTGCACGGAGATTAAACTGCTTCCTGTTTGGCTCTTCCAGTCTCCTCCTCCTCCTCCTCCACCTCCTCTGCCCACCTCCACACGTCGCTGCCCTTGGAGAAGGTGGAGGAGCGGATGACCTCGGGGGCCATCCAGGCGTAGGTGCCGGCGGCGCTCATCTTGGTGGTGCGGTGCCACTCCCGAGCCAAACCGAAGTCCGTGATCTTCAGGGTCTTGTTGCTCAGATCCTCCATCTCCACCCTCTCCAGGATCAGGACTGGAGAGGAGGGGGAGGAGGTGGAGGAGGGGGTGATGAAGGGATTCGGTTGGAGGTTATGAGGGGGGGGGATATGTGCAGATTTTCAGGTAAGATTTAGGGTTTTAGGGAGATCATCGCAAGGATTGTGATGCAGCAGGAGGAGGAGGATAAAACCAGATGAATCAAACACAATGCATGTGAAAAACAATAAAGTGTGGAAGCAGAAAACAGGGTGGGGTTGGTGGGAGGCGATGATGAAAGGATGGGAAGATAAAAGCAGAGAAGAAGAGAAACAGTGAGGAAACAGAGACAGCAGATTTGTACAACAGGCAGTGGTGGAATATGTACTCAGATTTGAAGTAAAAGTACAGATACGACATTGTAAAAATACTGTTATACTTAAAGAGTCCTCTCCTGCTGATGTTCAGGTGTATATCAGTATGTAGTGTCTCTACTTTAAAGAGTCCTCTCCTGCTGATGTTCAGGTGTATATCAGTATGTAGTGTCTCTACTTTAAAGAGTCCTCTCCTGCTGATGTTCAGGTTGATATCAGTATGTAGTATCTCTACTTTAAAGAGTCCTCTCCTGCTGATGTTCAGGTGTATATCAGTATGTAGTGTCTCTACTTTAAAGAGTCCTCTCCTGCTGATGTTCAGGTGTATATCAGTATGTAGTGTCTCTACTTTAAAGAGTCCTCTCCTGCTGATGTTCAGGTGTATATCAGTATGTAGTGTCTCTACTTTAAAGAGTCCTCTCCTGCTGATGTTCAGGTGTATATCAGTATGTAGTGTCTCTACTTTAAAGAGTCCTCTCCTGCTGATGTTCAGGTGTATATCAGTATGTAGTGTCTCTACTTTAAAGAGTCCTCTCCTGCTGATGTTCAGGTGTATATCAGTGTGTAGTGTTTCTACTTTAAAGAGTCCTCTCCTGCTGATGTTCAGGCGTATATCAGTATGTAGTGTTTCTACTTTAAAGAGTCCTCTCCTGATGATGTTCAGGTGTATATCAGTATGTAGTGTCTCTACTTTAAAGAGTCCTCTCCTGCTGATGTTCAGGTGTATATCAGTATGTAGTGTTTCTACTTTAAAGAGTCCTCTCCTGATGATGTTCAGGTGTATATCAGTATGTAGTGTCTCTACTTTAAAGAGTCCTCTCCTGCTGATGTTCAGGTGTATATCAGTGTGTAGTGTCTCTACTTTAAAGAGTCCTCTCCTGCTGATGTTCAGGTGTATATCAGTATGTAGTGTCTCTACTTTAAAGAGTCCTCTCCTGCTGATGTTCAGGTGTATATCAGTATGTAGTGTCTCTACTTTAAAGAGTCCTCTCCTGCTGATGTTCAGGTGTATATCAGTATGTAGTGTCTCTACTTTAAAGAGTCCTCTCCTGCTGATGTTCAGGTGTATATCAGTATGTAGTGTCTCTACTTTAAAGAGTCCTCTTTTCACCCTCTGTCTGAAACCAGAGCCCAATCTGCTCTGATTGGTTAGCTGGCCGGCTCTGTCGTGATTGGTCAACTGCTTAGAGATGGGACATTGTAGCCTATCACGTACAATGTGTTGGAGCATTAGCCAAGCCAATAGAAGTGCAAGTGTTTCATCGTGACGTCACTATGTTCCAGAAGTAAACAAAGGAGTCCAATAGAGGGATAATAATAGGGTCTTTAAAGTACCTCAACATTTTACAATACTTGTAACCTCCACCGTGCTCCACCTAACCACAGCACCGAACCTCTGCTGCAGAGGAGGGAGTGTCTGCAGGCTGCGGTGAACATAAAGCGCTCCTTCATCTGCTGCAGACACTCTGTCCAAAGAAGCTAAGACATGTGGCCAGAGGAAAGCCTGCTCCTGAGCAGCAACATGAGACAAACACAGCTGATTCCCCCTGAGGATGTGAGGGGGGGGGGTAATCTGTGCACTCAGTGAAATGCACACTAGTCAATTTAGAGAAGCAGCTGTTAAAGTGGCATGTTGTGTGAGAGACAGCACAGGAAGGAACAAACAATAACAAGCCAGGGTTTACAACAGTCATTAGGTCAGCATATTATCACCTCAAGAATATATCAAGGATTAAAAAACTAATGTCGCAACAGGACTTAGAAAAACTTGTCCATGCTTTTACCTTCAGTAGACTCGACTACTGCAATAGTGTCTTCACAGGTCTCACTAACACATCTATCAGAACGCTGCTGCTCGAGTCCTCACTGACACTAGAAAAGTGGATCACATCAGTCCGGTTCTGAGATCATTACACTGGCTTCCAGTCTGCCAAAGAATTGATTTTAAAATACTACTGCTAGTTTTTAAATCTCTAAATGGCTTAGGAGCGAGGTATATAGACGACCTCCTCCATCACTATGAAGCATCCAGGAGTCTCAGGTCTGCTCTCTGTTCTGAGAAAAACCACTAAACATGGAAAAGCAGCTTTTAGTTATTATGCCCCAACAATCTGGAACAAACTTCCTAAATCGTGCACGTCCGCCGAAACACTTCCTATTTTTAAATCCCGAATAAAAACGCATCTATTTGCCGCTGCTTTTCATTGAGCTGCTCATGCTCACACTACAGTATGCCTTTTATTCATGTATTCTGTACCTACTGTGTTTATTTATTTATTTAATTTCATTATCTTATCTGTTTTTAAATGCCATTTAATAATTTATTTATGCTGTATCTGTTCTTAAATGTCTTTTGTTTTTATTTTGTAAAGCACTTTGAATCGCCACGTGCTGAAAAGTGCTATATAAATAAAATTGCCTTGCCTTCCTGCAATTTGAATATTGCACTAGTCTTTATTTGGGAATTCAATTAAATGGTGATTATTTGTGCAGCACTTAAAAAGGGCCCTGATCTATTTTGGGGGTTTTCCCTTTCCTGTAATGTTCTATAATGTTTAGTGCATGTAAATGGTCTGCAAAGGCTAAAATCCCTGTGTCCCCTCCGGAGAAGAGCTTTCTGAACACTAAAGCATGGAGACATGTCCCAGTAGAGACACTAAATACTAATATGAACATCAGTCTTCTTTAAGGAAATACAGTTGCAGAGATGAAAGAAAGCAATCTCGAGTATTTTTTTAGAGACCGCACGTCATAATAGCCACTCCATCACCACAGTGATGATTCACAGGGTGGAGCCACTTCTGAAATCACTCATTCAACTTTAGACTTTCTCCACTATGTGCTTTGAACCCCACTTCGAACAAGTTGACAATTGAAATGATTATACTTGAAATAACTTTTGGGTATCGTTTTAAATGTATCGATTCCGATTCCGATTCTGCTTATCGATTCCGGTTCTTATCGATTCCCCGTTTCGATTCCAAAATTGTAAAAGAAAGAGGTCAAACGTTTAGATAACAAAAATATCTTTATTCTTTTAAGCTTTAACTGACATTTTTACAAATAAAAAATATACATGCAATACAAATGTATTGCACAATAGCTGTGCTTTATTTTAACTGAGCTATGGCTGTGGCAAGCTATTAAAACTCCCTATTATAGCTAATCATTTTAATATTATTCAGTTTTTCCCCTACCATTGTCCCCCCCTGAAATTCAAGGTTTATATTTATATATATATATATATATATATAGCGCAAAATCGCAACTGAAGTAATCTATCTATGGTCACTTTTTGCATTGAACATGTTCTCTTTTATTAAATAAACTAAACGCTTATGTTATTTATCTAATGTATGTGCATGTTTCAGTGTTCACTGCATTGCTTTGCACATTCACATTCTCTCCTCCGCTCCGACACTCCCAGTCAGAGGCAAGAAAGGAGGAAAGGAGGAGAACAACAAAGTGAAAAAAGTACAACAAATCTGCATTATAGCCCCGAGCTCTGCTGTTGGTCATGTAAATCCTGGGCGTAATTTCCACATGTTCAAAATCCCGTTTGTGTCCCCCCCCCATTTTCAAATTCGTTTATTATTATTTGTTAACCTCAAGCCGACCACGAACGTCGCGTGCACATTCTAAAAATAGCTCACTGGTGATGAGCAGGTACCGCGGTTTTGAACCCCGCACGGCTCGCCATCATTGGCACCCCCCCCCCAAAGCAGTAAACATAGGGGAAACACTGTTATTGTATTACTTAATGTACTAAAAGTATTCAATTTGTTTTGCATTTTTGTAAATATATAAATGTTTTACTAAGAAATTGGGTCAAATTTAGAATATCTACTTTAATTTCATTCCATTTAATGTAAAAAAAAAATCCAGAAAAACTAAAGTTTGACCTCATTTTATATAAATCACATAAATTGCCAAGAAGTTTGTATTTACTTCTTAGAGCCTAAACTTCTTCTCATAGCCAAAAAAAAAGAAAAGAGAAACTCTGGATTACACACTTGTATGGATTGAAAATAAAAGTGAAAGTGTAAACAGGCTGCACTGTGTTTCCTCTGAGAGTCCTGGGCCCTTTCTCATTTCATCAAATCCCCCTCCTCGACTCCTCGGTCCTCCGGTAGTGACCCGGAAATTAATTTTAGCGCGCCATGTTGAAGGACATCTCATTTCTCTCAATGCACTTCGAGGACCGAGGATCGAGCGTCGAGGATGCTCTCTGGAGGAGCTCTAACCGAGGATACACTGATGGGTCCTCCACGGCTCCTTCGTGGATGCATTTCCGGGAACAGAGATGTTTCAAAGCGTCGTGACACACGGCCGGACTTATCTCAGCCAATGACAGCTATGCATGCATCCCCTGGATATTATTTTATTAACTGCTTTCATCGCGACGTGATGTTTCCAGAGAGAACAGCTGTGAGGTCCGTGCAGAAAGCAGAGCAGTGTGTATAATATCACTCAGTAGAACTGGCCTACTCTCTTTATTTGCTGTAGTTTAGTAGATATCTACAAACAAAGAGTCCATATTTTTCTAAAACCATTTAGTGCTTCACATAATAAAATACACAACGGCTGAAGCCTGATAATATGCTTTAGGAGCTGTAGGTGTGTGTGGTACAGTGTGTAGGTGTGTGTGTGGTACAGTGCGTAGATGCAGCGGACAGACAGGTCTCAGTTGGTTTGGTGTCCTCTGCTTACTTTTAATACTTGTAAATAAAACTTTTGGCCCGTAATTTATTTCCCTCATTGTAGCGACCAGAGAGGGGGGGGGGGATATATCCAGTCTCTGATAGTGTTACGTTATTATGAGAGTGCTCTGTTTGATTCTGAAATGGTATATATATTTATATATATATATATATATATATATATATGTGTGTGTGTGTGTGTCCGCATCTGTAGCCTGTTATTGTCTCATTATACCGCACTGTGAATGAATCAAAGTAAATATATAAGTGGTCATGAACACATCTGTCCTTCAGACAGCTGCTGTGCCTCCTGTCATCATTAATGGACGTCTCTTTAAAATGACCGCTCAGAGGAGAGGAGTTCTCATTTCTCTAACCGCCTGCTGCTTCCCCTCCTCTCTCCTCGGTTCCCCTCCTCGACTCCTCCGTTCGCATCTCCTGTGGGCGGGACTAAGTCTCGAGGCTAGGAGTCGAGGAGGGGAGTTAGAGAACTGAGAAAGGGCCCTGGACGGCACTGATTTAACATTTGATCGCAGCCAATAGGAAGTGAAGCGTCTGCGCTGATCACCAGAGAACCGACCAATGAGAGGCCAGCAGCTGCCCGTGTGCCGTCTGAGCGTCCAATAGGAAGGAGGCCGTGTCAGAGCGCGGGGTAAATCCTCAGTAATGGGTTTGGGATTTAGGGGATCCGGTCGGTAAAATGCTAGATTACTACTGCAGTAGAGACACGCTGCAGACTGCTCTCTGCTCTCTGTGTGACTGTGGGTGGTATCTCTGCTCATCACAGCAGAGACCATGGGGGGGGGGGGGGGGGGTATACTATATTCAAAAGTAATGAAGCCTGACAGACAAAATAACAATAACAAATGTGGCAGATTGAGAAGTTTGGTCAGCAGCAGGGATAATGATGCAGATGTTTCTGAACGTGGTGCAGATTATTTCTTACTGTTGCTGGACTTGAGGTCCCGGTGGATGATGGGCACGATGGCCTGGCTGTGCAGGTAGAGGATGCCGCGGGCGATCTGCACCGCCCAGTCCACCAGGGTGCAGGGCGGGATGCGTTTCCCAGCCAAGGCGCGGTTGAGGGGCCCCCCCCGGGCGAGCTCCATCACCAGACACAGGTTGGGCTCCAGCAGACAGACCCCCAGCAGCCCCATGACGTTGGGGTGGTTCAGCATGGCGAACAGCTTGGCCTCCTGCCGGACGCTCTCCAGGGTCTGATCCGGGTCCTCGTCAGGGTCCCGCCGCGCCGCCTTCACTGCGACCTCCGACCCCTGCCATACCGCCCGGTACACCTTCCCAAAGCCCCCCACCCCAATGATTTCCTCCAGGGTCAGCTCCGAGAAATCTATCTCCAGCACTGAGGAGGGAGGAGGAGAGGAAAAGGATGAGATTTAGAGAGGCTGACCCAACATGAGTTTTGTATTTTGTTTGTTTTTAAATCTTATATATCTACATTTTTATTAATATTTTAGTAGACTTTTATACTTTCTTAACTAACTGCATTGTTACGACCAATAATACAAACACACAACTTTGCAAGAAGCTCAAAACACAACGGAAACCAAGGGACACTAAAAAGTGACGCACACAGCTGGGAGACCAGGGGACACTAAAGAGTGACGCACACAGCTGGGAGACCAGGGGACACTAAAGAGTGACGCACACAGCTAGGAGACCAGGGGACACTAAAGAGTGACGCACACAGCTGGGAGACCAGGGGACACTAAAGAGTGATGCACACAGCTGGGAGACCAGGGGACACTAAAGAGTGACGCACACAGCTGGGAGACCAGGGGACACTAAAAAGTGACGCACACAGCTAGGAGACCAGGGGACACTAAAGAGTGACGCACACAGCTGGGAGACCAGGGGACACGAAAGAGTGACGCACACAGCTGGGAGACCAGGGGACACTAAAGAGTGACGCACACAGCTAGGAGACCAGGGGACACTAAAGAGTGACGCACACAGCTGGGAGACCAGGGGACACGAAAGAGTGACGCACACAGCTGGGAGACCAGGGGACACTAAAGAGTGACGCACACAGCTGGGAGACCAGGGGACACTAAAGAGTGACGCACACAGCTGGGAGACCAGGGGACACTAAAGAGTGACGCACACAGCTGGGAGACCAGGGGACACTAAAGAGTGACGCACACAGCTGGGACCGCAGCGCTTGGTGACATTCAGGATTATAAAGCTGGACAACTGTCTCTGTTGTTGGAAACTTACCTAAAGTGTTTTATCGGTTTATTTTAATAATGTGATCACATGACTCCTTCTGATGTTACTACTGCAGATCTGCTGTAAGCTAGCTAGCTAACGAAGCTAACCTAGTCATTTCAGATATAATGACAAACACTTACAGTTATGAGACAGAATAACTCTGCAACAGAGACAGTTGTCCAGCGTTATAATCCCCTGATCTCCCTTGTGTTTTGAGCTTCTTGCAGCGTTTGGTTTATGCAGCTTTTAGTTGTGCGCAGGTTTGTGAAGATGTGTCTTCTTCATCTGCATGTGTTTTGGCACACTTGTGTTACTTAATTTGCATCATTTCTGAAACTGCAGCGTGTTTCAACCATGGTTTCAACTGATGAAAGTGTTTTTTTAATGTTACGGCTCCATTTGTAATGATATAACATTTAAAACAATCACAACAAAGTGCTTTTGCCACGCCGACATGAAATACTTTTTTGTATGCACCTATAACCTTATGTACTTTATGCACTGTATGCACCTACATAGGACTAGCACTTGTTCAAAAATATGTAGAAAAATCTTATTCAAAAAATTCATCATATCTGTTTGTATTTGTATACCCAATTCTAATGTTAATTTAATATATACAGTGTTTCACTCTTATTGCTGCTCACATGACATTTCCCATGGGATCAATAAAGATTTATCTCATCTCTAAATCTCTTGACACAACATTAACATTTTTTGCAGACATCCTTCCAAGGACATGAAGGGTTAAAGTCAGCCAGCCCGTCATCAACAGCATGCTAACAAGGACGTTAAAACCAGGTCACTGAGTGGAAGCATGCTTTCACTGAGCCATGCACCCTGATGCCCCAAATACAGGAAGTGATGAAACTAGTGAGCATCTGTCCAAAAATCTGACTAATGTTGGAGGAAGAAATGATGATGACCCTTTCCTGTGAGAGATGACCAGCAGCCTTTGAGTCTGCTCATTCTCTGCTAGCAGCCTCCTCAGCAGACTGACCTTGATGAATATTTCAGGTGGATGATGTGAAAGTAGGCCAGCTGCTGCTGAGGAGATGAAAGCTAACAAAGACAGCTGTCCTCCACCCAAACAAGCAGCGCGGATGTGGGTCGTGCTGCCTTAAAATACAAGATTTATTATCATGTCTTTGCTTTTACACTGATATTAGATTTGGGTTGTTGCAGCTGCAGAGGATCCTTTAAATGTTCTGCTTACTGTCTCCATCTGAGGCTGCACATTTAGCTCCACTAGACATTTATTTAGCTCTATGTTGTTGCACCGGCCACCGTGCATATCAAGATAATGCATTGGCCACAAAGCTATTTCCATGTACATAATATCTGATGATAATATTGCAGGCAAGGGATCAGCATGTCCAGTTCTCTTCTCTTTCTGCTGAGGATGCAGCACAGGGTGCATTGTAATTTGAGGCGGGGTGCCTGTGTGTGTGTTTGTGTGTGTGTGACAGGCAGAGGGATGAATAATGGTGCTGAGGCTGTGAGGATGTTTGTAGGCCAACAGGAGCTCACTGCGCCGTGACACAGCACTCTATCTCTCACACGCACGCGCGCACACACACACACATTCACACACTCTGTTTAGTGATGTAGCATTAGCATGGAGCACAATAGGACTCACGGTGCAGGGGGGGCACCGGGTACTGCTGCTGCTCCCCGGTGTCCCGGATGTCTCCGTGGCTCACATAGTTGGAGGGGAAGATGCCGACCCGGTCCAGGATCATGCCGGTCCACCAGCCCTCATCCCCGGACACCAGCGAGTCCTTGGACAGCACCTCCACCAGGTCGCCCCTCCGCAGGCTGAGCTCGTCCTCCGCAGCGGCTTCATAGTCGAACACGGCCCTCCAGAATCCCGGTGCCGCGTCCGGCACCGCGTCCGGCACCGCGCCGCCTCCATCCTCCGGCCAGCGGAACACATCCTCTTCCGCTGAGGAGACACACACCCTGGGACTCAAACTGGTGTCCAAAGCGGGTTTGAAATCATCCATGGACGCGATCCATAGGGGCGACCTGGATCACTGCATCCACCTGACGCGGCTGGAGGCTCTGCACACACACATACTCACTCTCACTCTCTCTCTCTCTCTCTCTCTCTCACACACACAGTTAAGTAGCGGCTAATCCTGCACACAAACACTGCAGGAGACTCGGTGCGCCATTCTGCAGCATCGTGTGTGTCTGTCAGTGCTGCTTCACACACACTCAGCTGCAGGTTGATGCTTCTCACACACAAACACACACACACGCACACACACACACACACTCGGCTGCAGGTTGGTTCCTCTCAGTGCTCAATCCTTCCCCCAGTCATGGCTGAAACTCACCGTCTTTATTGTAAACCAATTGTGCAAACGTGCGAATCATCCTCGGCTTTCTATTGGTGCAGATACACGTCAGTAACGCTTTAAGCCCCGCCCCTGTCTCAGCTGCTCCACGCCAGTTAAACACACACACACTTACTTACACACACACGCACACACACAGAAAGGAAGCGTTTTTTCTTCAAATACTCTCCTTTATTTAGGTATTGACCCCCCTTAGAAATAATAACCAAAATAAATTGCAAAACAAATCGTAAAATCCATGCACAATTCCCTGAAATAAAAACAGAAACCCATACCAAGGAGTAAAAAACAGTCAATTTAACAAACAGTCAAACAATTTCAGAGATGAGAAGGTGTGTTCATGTGTGTGTTTGTGTGTAGTGCTATCTGTTAGAAATATTCTGTTAGTTTCAGAGATTCTCAATTGTGGACAGTGACAGTGTTTCAGGTATAAAACATGTTTTGCAAAAATAATCAATGAACCGAAAAGTGACAAATCCAACCTAAGTCCAGTTCCTGATACATTTCACCTGACCAGCTAACTCAAAAATATCAGATCATTTAAAAAAATACATTTAATTGAAAATAAATAACTTATTAACTCAAAAGAGTGGGTAGGCTACTTGTTTTTTTATTTTAGTTAAGATTATAAAATGGTAAACCAACAAGACGTTCTGAAATGTAAATGTAAATCATAAATGACTATAGTTAGTCAAAGCTACACAATATTAAGATACCTGAAAAGGTCTAAATAAATGATAGGTTTGAAAAATAAAAAGTCGAATCTAAAAATGTTGAATATTTTTGCAGTTTGCAGGCAATTCTATTGTTGCAGATATGCAGTTAAGTGCAAACAAACAGACATGGAGTTAATTGATATGAAGATATGAGCTAGAGAAATGTTCCAGGTGTGGAGTAAAAGTATCTACAAGCAGAGAAAATGTGTTTTTTTTAACGGCAAAACAATCCCCTCACAAAGGAAATTAGAAGGGAATATTTATTATAAACAGTTTTGATTTTGCTATAAAAACCTGTATTCTTAAAACAAAATCCTCTCTTCCATTAGTCCATTCTGGGACAACACGCTTGTGCTTATTTCTGCATAATATGTAAATAGTGGTTTGAACTGATGCAACACATTTTCAAAAAATAATTAAACATTGACTTTAATGTTTTGTCAGCAGGTTCAACTTCACTGTATTAGGTTAGTTTAAAGCAGTAATATTACGTTGAGATACTTTCTATTAGTTTCAACTAGCCTTATAGAATTAAGTAAAATCTGTTGGCAAAACATATTTTTAATTAAAGGTGGGGTATAAGTTTGAGAAACCGGCTCGAGATACACTTTTTGTTATATTCCATGGAATGTTCTTAACATCCCGATAGCAATGAATATCTTAAGTGCTTTGACAAAAAATCCATGAAAAATGTCATCCATGGAAGCCGTGGCGCTGTAAAAAGCACGACCAATCATCTGAGCCGGCCCGGCTAAAGTAACTGGATGGCCTACCTGCCTGTCAGCCTTCCATCTGTGCACAAACTTATCTCGTGCCCTCATTGGTCATGTGCGCGTTTGTGTGTGTTGGAGGAGGGGCTCTGTAAGGAAGTGGCAGATTTTCTCCGGTTGTGTATTTTCAAATTCTAGCGCACTCGAGCTGGTTTCTCCAAAATGACCTACCCCACCTTTAAGGTACATTTTTCCAACTTGTTGTGGTGTTTTGTGAAAACCCTAATAACTCAATTTTGAGGATTTTGGATGTTTGTGATAACCTTTCAAAACCTTTAATCTCAAAAAAGTATTTCCTTTATTTCTAAATCCAGTGACATTGATATATTTAATAATCAGTTGTGATTCAAGTCAACCAGTGTTTGCTTATAAACCAGAAAGCTGCTTTATTTCCACAGAAAAAAACAAAAGGTGTTGATCTCAAAACACCGTCAGCTTTTGAAATTTCCTTTTTTATTTTTGACATCTCATTGCAGGCCAGGAAAAAACATACCCCCTCCATTATAATTAAAATGTGCCCTCTTTCTCTGTTACACAAATACAAGTGAAAATAACAATATAATTAATGAAGCTTTTCCTCAGTGTCTCACAAATTCACATTTCACTTTTATTCCAAATAAAATAAGACTGCTGCCTTGAGAGGTGATGTGTATGATAAATATATTTTCCTCTTTTACAGAATTAAGACATTTCATATTTTTTAAGACAAAATTACGATTTAGAGTGGTGAAAAACCCCGCTTGTGCACACACACATAGACACACATGGCAGATTAAAAATAATACAACCAAATAAACAATATAAATAACCCTCTAAAGGCGAGGATACAACAATTCCTTGACATCATGAACGCCTGCCAAACTCAAGACTAAAAATGTTTTTTGCAGGATTCAAAAAGGTGACAAAGTGAGCCCCCGGAAAATAAAACAACACACATTTCCACTGGCTCAGATGACTGCAGATAACATGTACTGTAAATGAGATGTGTGTTTGTGTGTGTTTGCATGCCCCCCTCCTTGCATGACACCTATACTGTGTCAATGTAAACATACACAGAAAATTATGTACAAAACGTGGGTGTTTTAGTGTTTTAATGGGACCCGTCCTCACAGCGTCAGTGGACCCCATATCGACTGAATGTGTGCGTGTGTGTGTGTAAATGTGGGGGGAGCAGGTGTGGTCCAGGGCCGGGAAAGAGCATCCGAATCAGCCACAAGACGTATTTACAACACTGCTCACCACAGAGGAAGAACACTGAGGAAGAGGTGGAGTGAGAAGAAGGGATGAACCACAGGGACTGGAGATTGACATCCCCCTTGTGGAAATACAGTGTCACTGCAACCATTTTTTTCTTTACTTTTATTTTTATCATTTTTTTTAACAGATGTTGCATCCCACCTCTTTGGTAATCTCTTGGGTGATTTTTTTATTTGACTGATTATATACTAACATATGCAAATTAAGTAATAAATATATTTTTTCTGCTACTTCTTGGGAGTTTTAAACGAGTAATAATTTGTTTCTATTGTTTTTTATAAACAAAGCACCAGTCGTGTGTTAAACAGCATTCAGTATCGATGTCAAGCTACTTTTAAATTCATCATGGAGCTATCTGCTGCTCTGATACCCACACTGGCTTCTCTTTACTGAAGAGTTTCAATCCTACTCTTTACAAAATCAGCAGAAGCGGGAGATGTTAAGGGAAAAACATGTCATTTGAGTCTTTTTTTGAAGCACTGCCAACCTAACACCTACATATTTGATTATGGAATCACTTTGATTTTCTCTTATATCATGAAAACAGATTTTATTTCATTGTAGATGCACTGATTGATATTTATCAATGATTAGATGATGTTTAACATTAAAGGTGTCGCTCACAGTTATCCTTAGTAGTTTATGCTGAATCCATTGTAATAGATCTGCAAGTATTATTATATTGATGGTAACATAATTATAATTCATTGTTAAATTAAATTGTCATGCGGAAATGTCAGAAAATGCTGTTTTCAGCAACTTAAATATATGATTTGGTGCTTTTCTCTGTTTTATATCATATTCAAGGCGATATTTTGGGGGTTTTTCTAATAGCTTAACAAGACATTTCTGCATACTTTGTTTGTATGCAAATGCCTGGTGGTTTAATTTGGAAAGAATTGTGTTCTCATTTACTTATTTAATAAAGTAGAGCCCAAGATTATGTTTAATGCTGCAATGCCAGGGATTCAGGCACAGACAACACCAATGTTGCAGTTGGAGAAGCTAACGTAAAAGCAGCTAGCAGCAATTAAGGTTATGTGATGACATGCTTTGTATTAAAATCTCACATTTTATAAAGGCAGCTTTAAAAGCGGTTCTGGAAGAAGCTCTTCAGTTGTTCAGCTCAGTGTGGGCGGCTGCAGCTCCACAGGCACTCTGTTCGGTCCATAGTGACACCTTAAATATTGGCCTTTTGCACACGTACAAGTAGAAGTCTCAATAAATAGATCTATACAGCAAAGTGCACGGAAGGAACAGTAGAAAAATACCTCTTAATTTATTTCTGCAGCAACATGTTTTTTTTCTTTTTCTAGGATTTCTGATTGAAAAGTTGAAAACTCGAGTGAGACCAAGATATCAGTAAATAAATAAAATACAATGTCATATTTTTACCTAGGCAAGATACATAACTCTTAGAAATGTGAAGAAGACATCGTTCCAGTATATAGTTTGACCCCCCCACCCCTCCCGTTTAGCCACAGCAATCTTTAGAGCAGAAAGTGACCACATTTAAACAAATATTCAAAATATACAGAAAATATGGAAATATATTATATATAGATACGTATAGAGTACGGAAGTAATGTTCAGGGCAGTTTGACCATGTTCACTGTGTCCACGATCGCTCTTCTTCTTCTTCTTCTTCTTCTTCTTCTTCTTCTTCTTCTTCTTCTTCTTCTTCTTCTTCTTCTTCTTCTTCTTCTTCTTCTTCTTCTTCTTCTTCTTCTTCTTCTTCTTCTTCTTCTTCTCTTCTTCTTCTTCTTCTTCTTCTTCTTCTTCTTCTTCTTCTTCTTCTTCTTCTTCTTCTTCTTCTTCTTCTTCTTCGTGTGATTTCTGAGAACTCTGCAGTGCTCCTTAGGAAACTATGCAAATAAAAAATAAATACTATAAATCAATCAGTCACTCAACATATTCCCCATTTACGATATTTTGCTATTCCTTAACATTGATCAGAAAATAGTTCTTTTAATCCTTTATTTGTGTTTGTGTGTGTTTTTTTTGTTTTATTATATCTGTTGCGTTTTTATCCCCAAAATACTTTTTAGAAAAAGTCGTTCTCGTCAGACGTTGAGAAAAATATAGACCTCTGATTAACTCAACCCTCTCCGGATATAAGACTTCAGTCTCTTCCAGGTCTGCGTGGCATCTTCTGGACTCGATGGTGACCCAATCCCAAATGTAAGCGGACTGGCGCCGGCTCAGGACGGCGATCTTCTCCTGCAGAAAACTCGCCACCGAGCATCCTTACAGAAGGGGTTGAGGGAGAGAGATAGAGGCGTCTGGGAAAACCAAACCTCTCCTGTTCATACAAACCATACAAGACCAAAAAATCCCACAGTGAGAAGCCACCCTCTGAAGTTGTACTTTAAACCCCTGCATGTTTGTATTCCCCTGTTTAAAAGCCCTCTATATGACAGTAGGCCTCCAGGCTGGAGAACAGGATGTAGAGGAACCAGAGGCCGAATAAGAAGGCGGACGTGGCCAGTCTGTGACCCCGCGGACCACCCAGTTCCCCTCCGATGTGGGCGCGGCGCCGGTAAAGCAGCACCGAGATGGCCAGGAAGGCGAAGATTGTGAAGAGGGTGACGGAGAAGGCGAGCGATCCGGCCTCCACCACGAACGGCTTCCCCTTCATGTGCCAGTAGATGGCCGCGATCGACCAGGCCAGGCCGATGCCCAGGAACACGTTGACGGCGTTGCTGCCGGTCACGTTCCCGATGGAGGCGTCGGCGTACGTGTCCTGCACCGCCGATACCTTACTGGCAAAGGTGTCTGCAGAGAGAGAAGTCATTAGGTTTTCATGCATATTCTGAACTTTGATTGGTGCACAGAAATAAAAGAGTCCCACCCATTTTAAACCACAGAGAAAAGCAAGATATTAAATAACCAAACTTTGGCCAAAATACTGTGTATACAATTGTAAAGGTCCCCTATTATACTGTTTTTCATCAATATAGTACAGGTCTCAGATATATACAAAACATGTCTCCGAAGTGTTTGGCTCCAAACACCAAACAGATCATTGCAGCATTACCCATAATCCCCTCTGCTTCAGCCCTGTTTCAAAAGTGCTGATTCTCCGTCTGTTACTTTAGATGAAAATAAGGAGCCCCTCCCCACGCCCCTCTGAGAGACATTTGGTTACAAAGAACTCAATGGTGCTCTAGGAGGATATTCAGGTGATAAGGGGGGGGGGGGGGGGGGTTACCTTGGTTGCTGATTGGCTAATGGTTACACAAGACAAGACATCGTTATGACATCATAAAGTGGCCAAAATCTGATCAGCTCATTTTCAGACAGGTTTTTATAGAAATGGATCAGGACAAAAAGAGACAGAATCTGTGTTCCTGAAACTTTCAGAGTCTCTTTTCACAGACACACATGTTGAATGAGAAGAGACATGAAGAAGAGGGGACACATGTTGATGTAGAAGAGACATTGTTACGTGCCAGGCAGGCCGTACTGGTGTGGTTTTCCTTCCCTCCTGTGTTTCTCTATTCTCCCTGTCTTCTGCACAGCGAATCAGCAGCTGATCGGTATCTGCCTGTGCACCTGAGTTTGATGGCTGATTGGATCCTCTCACCCTCAGCTGGCCTATCAGCAGCCAGGGCCGACCATAAAGGAGGCACCCAGGAAGTCTTCTCGCTCTCTCACTCTGGGCCTGTTGCTGATTGAGGAGCCTGAAATTGACTGCAGTGTTTAGCAACTAATTCTCCTTGTATTGTCTGACCTTTTTGAAAGTATGTGTGTTGAGAGGTGGAGGAGTTAGGTAAGTCTGGGGTACCCTGTACATTTCTCACCACGTAGCTAACTAATGTTTAGACACACTAGGTTAGCGGATTGTTGCCACCCCTGTATATTGTTTTGTCAAAGTCTTTGTAGTTTAGTTAGTGAGGGTTTTTGTTTGAGTTTTTGTTTCAAAGGATAGATGTAGAGATAGGCCTGGTTTTGTTATGCTTGTTTCTTTTGTTTGGCACAATCCTTTGACTCCTCCTCCTCCTCACCAACTAAGGTTTCAGTTATATGTCTGTTCGGTTCTGGGTTTACAAAATAAACCTTTTGTCAACTGTTACGCTGACTCCCTCATTTTTATTGGTTGTATGTTATTGTCTCCAGGTCCCCTAGACCTTAGTGGGGACGTAACAAACATGAAGAAGAGGGGACGCATGTTGATGTAGAAGAGACATGAAGAAGAGGGGACACATGTTGATGTAGAAGAGACATGAAGAAGAGGGGACACATGTTGATGTAGAAGAGACATGAAGAAGAGGGGACACATGTTGATGAAGAAGAGACGTGAAGAAGAGGGGACACATGTTGATGTAGAAGAGACATGAAGAAGAGGGGACACATGTTGATGTAGAAGAGACATGAAGAAGAGGGGACACATGTTGATGTAGAAGAGACATTGAGAAGAGGGGACACATGTTGATGTACAAGAGACATGGAGAAGAGGGGACACATGTTGATGTAGAAGAGACATGAAGAAGAGGGGACACATGTTGATGTAGAAGAGACATGAAGAAGAGGGGACACATGTTGATGTAGAAGAGACATGAAGAAGAGGGGACACATGTTGATGTAGAAGAGACATGAAGAAGAGGGGACACATGTTGATGTACAAGAGACATGGAGAAGAGGGGACACATGTTGATGTAGAAGAGACATGAAGAAGAGGGGACACATGTTGATGTAGAAGAGACATGAAGAAGAGGGGACACATGTTGATGTAGAAGAGACGTGAAGAAGAGGGGACACATGTTGATGTAGAAGAGACATGAAGAAGAGGGGACACATGTTGATGTAGAAGAGACGTGAAGAAGAGGGGACACATGTTGATGAAGAAGAGACATGAAGAAGAGGGGACACATGTTGATGAAGAAGAGACATGAAGAAGAGGGGACACATGTTGATGTGGAAGAGACATGAAGAAGAGGGGACACATGTTGATGTAGAAGAGACATGAAGAAGAGGGGACACATGTTGATGTAGAAGAGACATGAAGAAGAGGGGACACATGTTGAGAAATGTAGTCTGGTGTCAGCTTTTCAGAATCCAGCATTCACACAAATGTCTTCATAAATTATATTCTGTAGTTAATGTTATAATTCCTGACCATAAAGATGATTATTAGTGGTATTTTGATAGTTTCCAGAAATCGTGCACACTTCCCCTTTCTTTTAATTTCCTGAAGAAGATAAACATCTTGAAAGCAAATGTTCATTTTCCGCTAAAGCCAACTGTCACTCAAAAATATAAATGGCACTGTGGAGATTGGCAATGTCCTCTGTTTTGGTCTTTTTGTTTATTTATTTATATGTTTTCCTAAAAAAAATACAGTGATGATTTATTAATGTTGCACCCAGGTCCTTTAATAACAAATATGCTGACGGAGTCAAAGTTGTTGGTGACGTATTGTTACTGTCAGGGGAAAATTCAGAATATTGTCCTGATGTTACTGTTTGTAAGAAAAGCTCATGATATATATACAAATACGAGCTATATATTTATATTTGTATACCACTCTTTAAACTGTATATATCAGAGCTATGTACACACTGCACTTCTAATGTATTATAGACCTTACAAAACCTATCCCTACTTCTATAGAGTAACTGTAAACTTACAGGAGACTCAGGAAAAGGTTTGTTTTCAAAATAAAAGACACATAGAATTGTTGGTACCACTTTACAATAAGACTACTCTTATAAATGATTCATAAAGGGTTTATAATTAGGTTATGAATTAGGTTGTAAACACTTCATTAATCATCATAAACCAGTTCTAACACAGTTTTCATACATCAACAGAGGCTCACTATTTAGCAAGATGACTAAGCCTTAGCTACTTAGCGAGAATCAACTCAGTGAACAACAGATACCAAAGAAGGATGCTGGCTGATGAAGAAGATGAAGTAATCTAATGGCGCGTTTCCACTACAGTGCGGAGCGCGGTTTAAGAGTGCCGTGCCCGTTTTTGGTTGCGTTTCCACTCGGCGTAGTTCCGGCTAGCAGGTACTTTTTCACAGTTTGCTGGCTCTCCAAAATCGAGGCTCTTTCCGGGCCAACAACCGGGCTGAGTATGTTAAACTAGTGAGAGAATCGCTGGCAACTACAACAAGATGAACATATTTTACCGTGATTTAATTGTAATACACGTTTCAAAATGATGCCGAAGTAACAACATACTGATACCGGTTAGTAACAACCAGAGATGGGGTCGTTACTAAAAAAAAGTAATATATTACATATTACTTTAAAAAAAAGTAATATATTACACTACTTCGTTACTCTCTACATAAAGTAACTCGTTACTTTACTCGCAGGGCCGGCCCGCCCCTCCCTGCAGGCAGATCACGCAGACTGCTAAAGTTTCAAATGTTCTCTTTAGTTCAGTTTCCATTGTCGCATAAGACTGATCCAGATCCTGAATGTTCTCCTATCTGACCATGGCTGTCCTCTGTCTCCTGCTATCTGTATATTTTGCGCAGTCTATCTCTGCTCACGCTGTTGCGTCGGCGTGTTCTCCTGCGTGTTGGCCATGTGTTGCACTGGAACCAGACACCGCAAAGACTTCAGCCGAGCACGTACGAACTGCGCATGCGTGAGTGGCAATAACTCTCCTTACCAGCAGGCGGCGGTAGTGTGTATTCGTCATTCAAAACAGGCAACAACCGGAAAACAGAGAAGAAGAACAGACTACGTGATATAAACAAACAACAAATAGCTGTGCGTTAGCTTCACCTTAGCATGTGTTCTTTGCAGGTGTTTGTTGAGGTTTGATTATGACTGATTTTAGTAAGTAACGAAGTAACGCGTGTCGGGGCAATGTTAGTAACTGTAGTGTGATTACTGAATTATAAAAGTAGCACGTTACACTACTCCGTTACCGACAAAAGTAATATTACCCAACTCTGGTAACAACCATGAATTAATGCTTTGACAAGTCTGCAGACAGACGGCAGGCGAAAAACCTTTTTAAAATGTGTGTTTTCTGAATGGAGATTGGCTAAGCTAACGTTGTATATGCTCCGACCACACTCACAACAACGGCCTACAGACATAAATAAAGCAGCGATTGTATTCGCCATGACACTGACAGTCTGTGGTTTGTACTTGTTTCACTTTTGTCAAGTTTCTGAACAGATATGAGGAGCTGTGAGCTCTGAGGGCTAACAGCTAATGGCTGATGTTGGTTTTGTGTTTGCATTGAAGATGACGTCACGGCTCCGCCTACACTGCGTTACTATAGTTACTGCCCCAGCTACTAAACTGTAATGGAAACGCAGCATAAAGTGAGCCTGGCCTACCAAGGCCTAACTATACAGTACTAAGCCTTGCGAGGCCCTGCAGTGGAAATGCGCCATAAGTAGCCAATAAAAGACTTAGCAGTACAAATAAATGTGGGCTCACTATTTGGCAAGCCACCGGTCACAGTTGCCCTGTTTATCTCATGTCTTATAAAAGCGGCCCGTCCACACAGCGGCGTGCATTGTCGCTTGCCGGCGGGCATGTCTGAAGCTGGACCAACAACCAATCACCTGAATCTCCCGCCCCGGACACACAAGCAGCGGTTTGATTGGCTAGAGCTTGTACTGGCATACGATTCGATTGGCTGACGCTTCCGTCGAAGCTTCAAAAGTGGAACATTGCTACGCTTCGCTCCCACAATGCAGTTCAGCGAAGCGTGACGTCACCCCATTCAAAGTGAATGGGCTGAAGAGTTGAAGCTTTAACGCATGCCGCTGTGTGGACGGGCCGTAACTGTATCAAAACGGGAAGATCGGGATGAGGCTTGTTTTTCTAAATAAAAGCCCTTAGGGTCTATCCTTATAGAAAGCTCAGAATGAGGCTTGTTTTTCAAAATAGAAGCGACAGAAAGTAACTGTATGGTACAGGAAGATAAGGTTTAGGCTTGTTTTCCAAATTAAAAGCCCTGATAAGCAACAATATAGCTGCTGCTGCTGCTGCTGCTATACCTACTTAGCACTGGCAATACATTTGATGGTTGAACAATCAAACATTTGTAAGTATTGAGTATTAAAGGTCCCCTATTATTCTGTTTTTCATCAATATATTATAGGTCTCAGATATATACAAAACATGTCTCTGAAGTGTTTGGCTCCAAACACCAAACAGATCATTGCAGCATTACCCATAATCCCCTGTTTCCAAAGTGCTGATTCTCTGTCTGTTACTTTAGATGAAAATAAGGAGCCCCTCCCCACGCCCCTCTGAGACACATTTGGTTACAAAGAACACAATGGTGCTCTAGGAGGAGATTCAGGTGATAAGGTGGGGGGGGGGGTTACCTTGGTTGCTGATTGGCTAATGGTTACACAAGCCAAAAAAACGTTATGACATCATAAAGTGGCCAAAATCTGATCAGCTCATTTTCAGACAGGTTTTTATAGAAATGGATCAGGACAAAAAGAGAGACAATCTTTGTTCCTGAAACTTTCAGAGTCTCTTTCCACAGAGGGGACACATGTTGATGTAGAAGAGACATGAAGAAGAGGATTTTGCATAATAGGTCCCCTTTAAGTCCTGATCTCACCTGGGACGGAGGTACCGAGGGCCACGAACACCACGGCGGTGACGGAGTCCTTGAGCCCGATGGTGCAGCCGAAGTGCGACGCCAGGTCTCCGATGACGGCGGTGAGCATGCCGATGATGGCGATGGAGGTGATGAAGCACGCCCAGCCGTTCAGGTAGTCGGTGGGAGGAACGCAGGCGAACAGAACCTTCCAGAAGACGGTGAGGAAGTGCATGACGTAGTCGAAGCAGGACGGCAGACGCTCCTCCCCACTCTCGTCCTCCTCCTCATCTGAGGGGGAGAAAGGGTTGTTATTGGGGTGTTATTGAAGCGGGAGGACAGCAGAGAGAGCAGCACCAGCATAAAAGAGGATGAGATATAGGAAGTGGTAAAAGATAGAGAAAGGGGTGAAGGAGGAGAAGTACATGTCAGCAGAAGAGGCAAACAAGAGGATGAGAGAAAGAAGATGGAAAAGCAATATAGATGAAAAGGAAAGAAAAACAAAGACAGATGATGAAGAACAAAGAGGACGAGGACGAGGGAAGGGAGAGTTTGAAAATGTTGGCGAGATAATACAAATCAATAAAGGAGAAGGGTGATGACAAAGACACATTTACTTATTTATCAGCTGCAAAAGTCACTCAAGCTGTCAGATACATGTATCAGAGTATAAAATATAATATTAGCTTTCAAAATGTAGAAGTATAGAGAAGCATATCAGTAAAGTACCTTAAAGTTGTACTTAACCTGTACAATGACAAATGAAAGATCTATCTATCTATCTATCTATTAAGGTTGAGTATATGTACTTCATTGTATTACACTGGTTCTACACTGATTTAAGAGAAGATGGGAATACAATCTGTATTAACTTTTACTTAAGTAATGTAACAGTCTTTATTTTACACTCAACAAAGTATTTAACAATTGGGTTAGCAGCAGTTAAAGACCTGAGTAGTTTATCCACCACTGACAATCTGTGTTTCTCAAACTTTTTCATACCAAGGACCACTTAACCAATAAAAAAACACTCGTGGACCACCTAACTCCACAAATATCAAAAAACACATAGTTTTTCTAGAACAGATTACAAATTGCCTGAAAATGGTACAAACAAGTGGCAACATGTGTGATGAAGGTGTTGCGCTGGGCTATATCATGCAATCAAAAGTGAAACTTAGCCTCGCTCCATTGCGGAGATATTCCCGCGAGAGTGTGGAAAACTTAAATGTATTTATTTCAAATGTGAAATGTTACCAATATACTCACGGACCACTAGGGGCCGCTCACGGACCACCAGTGGTCCGCGGACCACACTTTGAGGAAGCACTACAATATAACACCTTTGATAGGGTTTACTCCAGTTTGGAAAAATGTATCATTTTGGATTTTTCTTCCTTTAAATTGTCATCTTGTAAGAGCTATAAAATAAATGTGCCCTCAGGTGGATCTCACAGGAAGTTCAGCATGGAGACGAGGAAGTGACTCAGAGTGTCAGGCCATGTGAGCTGCATGCATCTTTCAGACACACTGGATCATGAAATAATAAAGAGTACCGCTGGATTAAATATTTCAGCAGAGAGAGGAAGCTGTGACTGCAGAGCGGCAGGACGACCAGATGATGGATGGCTTTTTAATCTCACCAACATGAAACTTCTCCAGAGCCGCAACAGCTTTCAGGGACGACTCCACTTGCATTAGTTTCTGAAAACTGACACTGATATTTTTGGGCTGCGGTAGCTTCTAAGAATACAACATGTAGTATGCTAAGATTAACCATCCAAACAAGAAGCCAATTTATTTCTCTCATACTAGCCTACCACGCGGTGAAAGGCTTTGGTCCTTCTTACATTCAAGTCTTGTTCAAGGTCACAGGAAAGGGAACTCCCCCAAAAAATGAATATGACCCCTTTAAACAATTGATGTCCTTTTATTTAGCATACCACTATTTGTATTATTATTCCCTTCAGCACCTGCACTGACGGTGATGGCCTCCATGAACTGGTCCCTCCAGGAGTTGGTTCCCACCACCAGAGCCAGGTTGGTCTTCTTGATCAGCTTGTCCACCGTGCTCTGTGAAACCAGATAGAAACAGTATTAAATCCATCCTATCCAGAGGCTGCTGTGAGGAGCAGTTCACCAGCGTGGCCACAGGGGGGCAGTGGCATCCAGTTCAGCTGCAGGAACATGTGTGAAGCATGATGAAGGAACACAGCAGACACAAATATGGAGGAAAGAGGATGACTTTATACAGAGTGGTGGAGAATAACAAAGCACATTCACTGAAGTAAAATGTCAAGGTACTTTTACTGAAGTATTTCCATAGTAGGCCTCTAACCTTACACTTCACTACATTTGAGAGACTTGCACTTTAGTAACTATTTACTTTACAAAGTAAGATCATCCATGACTGCACACATCTGTCGATATTTAAATCACAAATCAAAATGTCCCTTTTTAAAGCTGATTTTAATATTTAAATATCTAAAATTATTGTGTGTTTTATATTGAAAGTGTGTTGATTTCTTTATTTTAACCTGTATATGTTAAGTGAAACATGAAAAGCACTCATTATTATTATTATAAATATATATTTTAAATTATTTTAATGATATGTCTTAAATTATTATTATTATTATTTTTACTGTTCATTTTTAATATTTTAAAATGTATTATTATTATGTTTAAGACCTATAAAACCTGATTACAAATATTGTAAGAATATATGCAAGAATAGCTTAGTAAATTATTTAATTTCCAATTCAGTATAAAAATAACTTTCATCTACGAAATAAAATAATCTTACAGAAAAATATATTTTGAGTTTATTTATGTTAATATATTTTGAAGAAGAACAAGATTATAAATCCCCAAGAGGGAATGCATTTTGCTGAATGAACCACTTACTTGTATTTGTACACTTTAGTATTGCTTCTTTAACTTAAGTAAAACTCTGAGTACTCCTTCCACCTCTGTTTAAACCAGGGGTGTCAAACTCAAGGCCCGGGGGCCAAATTCGGCCCGTGACTTCATTTCATGTAGCCCCACAAGAGCTTGCAAAGAATATTATATGTTCATACGGTTACATGCCGCTTTACAGAAGCACATTGCCCATAAACTACATGTTCCCACAATGCATCTCAAATTAGACTTTTTTCTCGGAATTAGACTTTTTTTTTTTTTTTTTTAAATGTAACTTTTTTTCCAAAATGTCTTTTTTTTCAGAATTTTGCTTTTCTTTCCTGTATCTGTTATATCCAGCAGATGAATTGAAGTTTTCCGGTGTTTGCGGCAACAGGAATATCCCGCTCTGTTTGCAGAGGAACCTCTCTCACCTTAAACTCGTACGACTCCTCGATAATCACTTCCAGCTTGGAGTTCTCCCCCAGCACCGGCTTCCCCATCTCCGCGATGCGCCGAGCCTCCTCCTCGTCTGTCGTTATCTTCCTGTCTGACACATCTGGAGAGGAGGGCAGAAGAAGAAGGACATCACAAAGAGACGACACTCAGCTGATCAGCACGTTGTTATTCACAGAACAAAACATCAGACAGTTTCCATCTATTCAGACTTCAGAATGTCCACGCTCATCCAAGAGTTTGTTTTCCATGCAGTATTATACATATCAATGCAAAGTGAAAAACTACAAGATTTATTGTAATACTAAATATCCTTATTTCAAAATCTGTCTGTTTCTCGGTGAGGTTAGACTTTGTTATGTAAAAGTTAGACAGACCTTCATGCACAAAACACTGCGACAAATAATAAGTGCAGATTTATGGATTTATTTTGTAACATTTCCCATTAAAATTCTAATTCAACAGTGACTTTCAAGGTCCTTTGTGATGTTCACGCCTTACCAAGTTTGTTTACATGCAGTATTATACACATAGCAGTCACACTCTGTCAATGCAAAGTGAGAAAATAGTTGATTTATGGTAAAATACCCACGAAATATCTTCTTTCAAATAGTTTTTCTCTGCTTTTGGTGGGAGTTAAACTTTGTTGTGTGAAGGTTAGAAAAACCTGCATGCACAAAACACTGCAACAACAAATAATAAGTGCAGATTTATTTATTTATTTTGCACCACTTCCCATTATTCTTCTAATTTAGAGTCAACAATGACTTTCAAGGTCCTGCAAAACATCAAAAGGTTTTCTCGCTGTTACGGGAAGTTAATTTATTTTGCCTTTATAATATTTGTGAAGCCTTTACATGCAGTATTATACATATATGTATAGTCAAATCTGTCACACTCAATCAATGCAAAGTAAAATAATAGAAGACTTGTTGTAATAAATATCCTCTTTTTAAAAAGGTTCTCTTTGTCTTGGTGGCTAAACTAATGTTAGACGTGTGGGGGAAACTTCTGATGCAATTGGAAACAGGACTCAGAGACACGAGGAGAGCTGGAGCTTTGATGGCAAACACTGACGGTTTATTTGGAGTTACGGCCGGAGAATTGACAAGACAGGTGGTGTGTCACGAGTTGACACAGCGGCTGCCAAATCAATTCTGAAGAACTCTTTCTGTAGCTCGAGGTTTTAACTACACTGAACAAAAATATAAACGCAACACTTTTGTTTTTGCTCCCATTTTTCATGAGATGAACTCAAAGACCTAAAACATTTTCTATATACACAAAATAACCATTTCTCTCAAATATTGTTCACAAATCTGAAAACATCTGTGATAGTGAGCACTTCTCCTTTGCCGAGATAATCCATCCCACCTCACAGGTGTGGCATATCAAGATGCTGATTAGACAGCATGATTATTGCACAGGTGTGCCTTAGGCTGGCCACAATAAAAGGCCACTCTGAAACGTGCACTTTTGCTTTATTGGGGGGGGTCTGGGGGGGGTCCGAAAACCAGTCAGTATCTGGTGTGAGAGTATAGGGTTAGGGTTAGGGTAATGTTGTGAATCGAGTGGCCTGTGTTCGTCGTCCATAACATACGCCTGCCCATACCATAACCCCACCACCACCATGGGCCACTCGATTCACAACATTACCCTAACCCTAACCCTACCCCTCACACCAGATACTGACTGGTTTTCGGACCCCCCCCCGACCCCCCCAATAAAGCAAAAGTGCACGTTTCAGAGTGGCCTTTTATTGTGGCCAGCCTAAGGCACACCTGTGCAATAATCATGCTGTCTAATCCGCATCTTGATATGCCACACCTGTGAGGTGGGATGGATTATCTCGGCAAAGGAGAAGTGCTCACTATCACAGATTTTTTCAGATTTGTGAACAATATTTGAGAGAAATGGTTATTTTCTGTATATAGAAAATGTTTTAGATCTTTGAGTTCATCTCATGAAAAATGGGAGCAAAAACAAAAGTGTTGCGTTTATATTTTTGTTCAGTGTAGTTCGGAGTGTAATAATCAACATTCTTTATCAGTAAGACTAAACATTATGGACCCTGAATCTAACTAGAGCTCTCGTCCATAGGAAAGAATGAGCGCCAGGTAACCTTCGTCCCTGAACAGTAAACTACCTCATGGCGGCTTGTGCTCCGTCACAGACTGGCAACAACAATGCGCCCAAGCTGCTCCTCCTTAAGAGAGATAGCAGCAATACCCAAGGCCGTAGACCTATGCCGTGAGAAAGGAGACAGTGAGAGGAGAACATGATGAACTGTGTCGAAGGTTGAATACCTAAGCAAATTATTCCCTAACAATACACACTTGCATGCTTGATCAATCTCACAAAACACTGCAAACACAAACAATAAGTGCAGATTTATTTTATTATTATCTAGAATTTTCCATTATATTCCTCTAATTTAAAGTTTATAATGACTTTCAAGGTCCTGCATCTCGTAAAGAGAGCATGTTTTAAAGAGTGAGTTTTTGTCTCTTTTTGCCTTTATTATTAGATAGGAGAGCGTCAGATAGACAGGAGAAGGAAAAGACGAGGGCCTTGACAAAAAACTGTTTGTCTTATACATTTTCTTTTTTAAGCTTCTAAAAAACAAGACATTCTTTCCAGTTGATGTCCCTCTTTGGGTATGCTTTCATTTGAAATCTTTAGACTGAACATCAGTATCTTATATCATCACATATCATATATTTTACTATATATACTCTACCTTTGTTTTTAATTCTTGTTTTTATGCACCACGACACCAAGTCAAATTCCCCGTACGTGTAAACCTACCTTAAACCTGCTTCTGATTGATTCTTAATAGAAAACCAAAAGAGTGTTTGATCGATTCGTCCGGGCCAAACGGACTATGTCTTGTGTAAGCGTCTCATGTTTCTCTGTCCCCCTCTCTGCAGAACGACGCTCCCTCAGAGCTCCTGAGTGCCCGCTCACTAAAGATCTCATAACATCACTTCAGTGTCAAACTGCATCAAAGCGGAGCGTCTGCATCGGTCCTCTGATCCTCCTGCAGAGACGCCTGCTGCACGGCCTCTAACACGCTCAGCGTCACATATTAACACTGCCATTAAACATCAGCCACACACACACACACACACACACACACACACACCACACACACACACACACACACACACACACACACACACACACACACACACACACACACACACACACACACACACACACACACACACACCCACACACACACACACACACACACACACACACTTTTGAGCTAAATCAATTACAGTGTGCACCCTCAAGTCCTGACAGGATTTATTTTGCTCATGTTAAAGAATGGATTACCCTGCAGCATCTACATTTCCTCGACAAGGAATAATAAATAACAAAATCCCACAAAGGTAATTACATTTCTAATTTTATCTCGACGGTTATCAGGTGTTGCACCTTCCTCCTGACTGCAGAACATGATTTATGGATTTGTGGTTCATTAATTAGCATGAAATCCATCACTAAGAGCAGCATGTGAAACGCTGACAGTAGAGGAGGAAGAGGAGGACGGGTTATTTATATCGCATAATCTCAAGTCTTCATCAGCAGCAGAATAAAGTCCTCTGAGATTTCACGCCATGCAAAAGAGACTCAAATTCAGGGATGGTATTAGAAAAAAACACAGCAAAGAAAGGTGTTAGAGGAGGGATGCACGTCTTACCGTCTGATAACAACATGGCTGTGAGGGGAGGAAGAGGAGGGGAGGAAACAGAAAAAGTGGATGAGCAGTGGAAATGGAGGAAGCATGCCTGATTAAAAGAGAGAGAGATGTGATGCTGCAGAGTATCGACCCTGAGGTGTGAAATATAACGCTCTGATTATTCAATTAGCCGACACAGAGGGAAAGGAACAAACGAGGTGTATTAAAGGGAACATGTCGAATAGGAATCAACAGAATTGCCTTCTATGTCATGATCTGCAGCTATAAGCATAAAACATTTAATTAAAAGTTGAGTAATGCTAAATGCAGTCCGATGAAAGCTGCTGTATTGATTTGACGGGGTATCTGTGTATATTTTCACAGGTTGGGAAGTCATTTCCCGGTTATTCTGACACCATGCAGCGAAAACACAAAGAAACACGGCATCTTTCCATGTGACCTGAATGTTGTTGTGACCTTTGGTGTGTGTGTGTGTATCCTAGCATTACTATACTTGTGGGGACCTACATCTGTTTACACTGTCACGTGTGGGGACTCGCCTCCCTTATGGGGACAAATTGGAGGTCCCCATGAGGGGAATCTTTACTTTTAGGGTGGAGACTTGGTTAAGGGTTAGGGTAAGGCATGTGTTGGTTAGGGTTAGGATAAGTCTCCAGGAAATGCATGTAAGTCAATGTAATGTCCCCTGAAGTGATGTATACATGGTATGTGTGTACGTGTGCATGTGTGTGTACGTGTGCATGTGTGTGTGTGTGTATGTGTGTGTGTGTGTGTGTGTGTGTGTGTGTGTGTGTGTGTGTGTGTGTGCAGGTAGTGCCTAGTTTCCTGATTGGACCTGATGACTCCACTTTAAAAAAATGTAGCGTGTCAGCCTGCTTCCAACAGAAGGTCTGCATTTTTTATATTTAGGGATCTGCATTAAGGTAGCGAAGTGCTAACCTACAAATTGGCTTTGGTATTCATAGTTAGGTGAATGCTTTCTGTACATTTGGAGTTTTTGAGAACTGTGATTGCCCGTTTACTTTTTACTTGTTTACTTACTAGAACTGCAAATGTGATGTTTCCCTGACCGCTTGGGAGTGGGAACAGTTGGAAGAGTGGGGAGTTCCCCTTTCATAGTAGGTCTAGGTTACATTGTGTTTTCCATCTGCCATCACCATAACAGAAGCCATAATAAAACATACATTTCTCTTTAAGGGAGACTTGATGTACTCTGCATTAAGGCGGAAATAATATATGTTTATTTCAGTATCCGTGAAAATATCGGCATATTGGCAATCTGTTTATTCCTGCGTAATGTTCTAAGGATTATGAATATCATGTCATCTAATAAATAATGAACATGTCAAGACTTTACACGTGATATCGAGCTACATAAATCACTCTTTAATGAGTGTGAGGTTGTAATTAAATGATGCACTTCAGCGAGGGAACAGATTTCTATTCACTGATTAGTCACATCTGATATTCTGACACTCAATCAGGGGCGAAGCATCCAGTAACAGCCGTGAACACGTAATGAAATGTCAAATAAAATATGCTAATATTATTATATTATATATTATATCATGACTCTGCAGGATTGTTTCTGCCGAAACAGAAACAGTGACACAGCAACACCCCTCAGGCAAAGCATCACTAAATGATATTAATAAGAATAAAAAGAGAAGGAAGTCATCCAAAGATAATTACACGACAGGATGGGTGACAGAGAGGAGAGGAGGCCTCGGGAGATTCACATCTCTGACGTCTTCATCATCATTTCATAAAGAACCAAGCAGGAAATGAACTGATCAGAGAAACCAAACAAAGGTCCGACTGCTTCTGAACACATGATACCAATTAACCTGTGTGTGTTATCAGCTGCCTGAATCACACACCACACACACACACACACACACACACACCACACACACACACACACACACACACACACACACACACACACACACCACACACACACACACACACACACATACACACACACACACACACACACACACCTTGGTTCATCATCATTTAAGGAGATAAGTGCATTAATTGCCGTGGGCTTCATTATCATTAGTCCAGCTGATCTGAAGCCAGGAGAGTAAGAGCAGCGGTGGGGGGGCGCAGTGTCCGACTCCCAGCAGGAAGAACAGTAAATATATATAAAGACACACACTTTAAGTTCAATAGTGCACATAGATAGTAAAAGATGGTAAACCAAATAGACAGGTATATAAGCAGAAAGACAATGCCAGAGCCAGGTTGTTGTTTTTGTCAAACCTATTGTCACCTGGTGGCTACCTTTGTAGTCAAGGGACTTTAAAAGACTACAATTCCCATGTTGCGAGCCTTTAAGAGACATATGGGCAACCTGAGTGAAAGCGGCAACGTGATGCTGTTTTTAACTATTAAAATATATGATGTACACAGAGCTCCATTACTAAGACATAACCTGCTGTGGCAACAATTAATCATCACTTCATAAAGGTGCACACACACACGCACGCACACACACACACACACACACACACACACACACACACACACACACCTCGTTGCTGTCTCCATGTTCCTGCGTCAGAGAGCTGAAACATCCTTCAGCTGAAGGATCCCATGATTTCTCTGAATGTCGGGTGATTTCCCTCCGCCCTCCTGATGGAACCCTTTCACGCATGAAGAGTCGTGTTTTTTCGTCTCTGCTGAGCTAATTAAAGCTGCCACGACGAGACGCATTTTGACATCAATACATATTTTTAACACATCCATCTCGAGATATTAGGGACTGTAAACAAACACGATAATTGCCAAGAAGAGAGGCAGCGTCTACCAGCAGACACAACGTTTCGTTTTTGGACTAAGAGCCAGTTATATCCTCAGTAAAGGGCATGTTCTTTATTCCACAGGTTCCTAAATACATTCAACTTATTACATCTATTATTTATTATGCAGCTACACAATCTATATACTATACAAGCGGCCGAGATGGGTTTTCTCCGCAGGGTGGCTGGTGTCTCCCTTAGGGATAAGGTGAGAAGTTCGGTCATCAGGGAGGGACTCGGAGTTGAGCCGCTCCTCCTTCGCGTCGAAAGGAGCCAGTTGAGGTGGTTCGGGCACCTAGTTAGGATGCCACCTGGGCGCCTCCCTAGGGAGGTGTTCCAGGCACGTCCAGCTGGGAAGAGACCAAGGGGTAGACCTAGGACCAGGTGGAGGGATTATATCTCTTCGCTGGCCTGGGAGCGCCTTGGGATCCCCCAGTCAGAGCTGGTTGATGTCGCCAGGGAAAAGAAAGTTTGGGGCTCTCTGCTGGAACTGCTACCCCCACGACCCGACCACGGATAAGCGGAAGAAGATGGATGGATGGATGGATGGACAATCTATTATGATTGATTAATAATTATATTATTATTATAATTGTTTTATTAATTAAATACATTATTAATTATTTTGTATTAAAATATATTATCCTTTATTTTGTATTAAATATATTATTATTATTATGATATAATCTAATCTCAAAATACAAACAAACCTTGCATTTTAAGGCCCTGACACACCAAGCTGACCCCAAAGAACACGTCCCGACGGACCCGATTGTTGCGTCGCCTCACGTCTCCTGCGTCTTGGCCAACAGTCGCACTGGAACACACCGCAAAGACTTCAGCCGACGGCCAAGTAGCACATACGAACTGCACATGCGTGAGTGGCAATAACTCTCCTTACCAGCAGGCGGCGGTAGTGTGTATTCGTCATTCAAAAGAGGCAACCGGAAGACAGACTGCGTGATATATACAAATAACAAATAGCGTGCGTTCCATTTTCACTCTCGTCCATCATCACAGACTGTTTCACATAACGACTAATAATCGAAAACATGTTTAGTGCGATACTCGAAAATAAAAAATGATAGCCGTCTGTGTGTGCCTTCTTCACTTCCGTTTCGCTTCCCATGCACTGATTCGCTAAGCTGAACAGACAATCAGCGTGATTTATTTGGCCGACGGCCTTTTGCCGACAGCCTCCCTAGGAGCCTCCACAAAGAGTGGAACAGGCGAGCAAGTGTGCAGGTGTGCGTCATATGAGAGGCCCCGCCTTACATTTTCTGCCACAGATGGGAGATTGGGGAAATTGGTCCGTGCGCAAAGCATTGTGGAGATTTTAAGACCGCGGAGTCTACACATGTGCATCCTCGAAATGTCTCGCTACGAAGTACGCCAGGCTCGGTAGAATTCCAAGTATGCTGGACATTGGAATAGTCCTTCGGCGGCACTCGATGACGTAGTATGCTTGAAATAGTGGCTCTGGAGCAGCTTTACTCGACATTGAGAAACACCCAGAGAAACGCGGATCTTGGGTCCTTAGCTTGAAAAAAAAAGAGGAGGCGGAGCTAATGCCTGATCAGAATTCTACCGGAGATAAAGTTAAATTCTGCTGTGATAAAACGCCATCCTGTTCTAAAGCACATCAAAGATTATTTCTGAAACAGTATGGAGCTCAAATGCTTTTTCTCTTGCGGGTTTATCACAAGGTGAGTTCCTTTTTTTATTTCCTGCTTTTTAAACACATGTGCTCTCCAGTACAGGTTAGCTCTGAGTGTTAGCGAGGCTTGCTAATGTAAACAAAGACAAGATTACGTCCAAAACACGTCAGGCATTGTTTCTGAAAGCAACTCTCCACAGGTTCACCATCCGAAATTACGTCATGTCAGCAAATCTGTATCCGCTCGTTGTGCCCATGTATAATAAGAACTGGATACAGCGTGGGAGGCGGGGTCTTGTTCTTTCCTATGAGAGCTGCTCATTGGCGCATGAAGACAAAATGGCCCAACTTTTGAGAGAGCGAAACGTCACAGATTACCTAGCATGCCTGGCTGTCAGAGCAGAAGAACCTGTACGTGCGCTCACAGAGCATGCGCCCCTTTAGCCCCGCCCCCCGAACTCCCACTCTCGGCTCACTGGAATGAACGGAAAGAGAAAATAAATCTAGATTCGGTTTTTAATGCACGTTACAACTTTAAGGACCTAATGATTCTA